TACTCTTTAAAATCTCATTTCCAAAATCATTGGAAAACGTAATAGCATTCACATGCTATTTCTTTTAAAATCATTTGCTTTAATCATGTTTTGTTCTAAAACATTTTCATTGGCCAAATCATTTAAAGTAAGGCTAACACGGATATGGACAAGAATATCCTACCTGTTGGATATCAAACCTGTGGCTATCTTCACGTAGCCCTAGCTCCGCTTGCCTTCGAGGCTCCAATTCCAATCGTGTCACTATCTTTCCCATCAAAATCAACAATTTAGAGTTTGATCTTTCTCACCAAACATTCTCATTTAATTAGATGCAATTGTATCATATTAGTGTGCCATAGTTCAAAATCAATGTTCATAAACAATTCTTAATTCAAATCATGATTCTTTGACAATGGAAATTTATTCCGGAGAATCGAATGGAAAGCAAGGATTCATGTGGCTAATCCACTCATTTTGAGTTCTCAAATGAGGTTAGGTTAATCCCACATCGAGTTTTGGGGTCAAAACAAGGTTTCTAGGTTGTTTAGGGTCAGTTTCAGTGGGAACCGGTCGACTGGTGACAAATAAGTGTAACTCCACCGGTCAGCCGGTGGAGAGGTGACCGGTCGACCTATGGAAGGGTGACCGGTCGACCGGACCAGTCAACCGGTGGGGAAAAATTCCAGGGCCAACAATGGCCGATTCGCGAGGAACAAAGCCAAAACCTGTAATTTTGGGTCCGACTTCGACATATTCTCAAGGGAAATGTATAGATCCAGTTTCAAATCAACAAATGGGGTCCAAAGAATCAAAAACCCTCAATTTTCATCAAGGTTTCACCAAATCCCATTCAAATTCATTTGAAAATAAATTTTAAACCAAAAATCACCAAACTTGACTAAAACGAGTTCCACAAAGCTAAATCTGAAAATCTAAAGTAAGTTTCAAAGAGTTTTACCTCGATCCAAGCTTTGATGTTGAAAATCTCTCAGAAACCTCCGTTTTTGGTTTAAATCCGGCCATTGAGAAAGGAAACTTTGAGAGAGAGAGAGAGAGTGAGAGAGTGAGAGAGAGAGAGCTCAGGAGATTGAGAGAGTGAAAGAGAGAGAGTGTGTCGAGACAGAGAGAGAGAGAGAGAGAGAGAGAGAGAGAGGGAGAGTAACGTGAGGAAGGGAAAGGAAAAAATAGAAATAACGAAAAAGGAAAAGGAGAAATAGAAGGAAAAGAAAATTAGGAAAAATAAATAAAATAAATAGGGGGTGAAATTGCAAATACTAAAATAAATTTAAAAGCTCATGATTAATTAAGAAATCAATTTAGGCACACTAATAAATCACAATTATCATAATTAAACAAGTTTAATTCCGGAGGGCGTTACACAATGTCCCCTTCGTCTAGCACATGAGTTTCTTCTCTTTCTCGTTCCCTTAGTTGAGTTGACTTTCATCATCCATTCTGAATGTGGGGTCCACTAATCAAACCCTCTATCCTCCGTTGATTCTTGGAAACTTCACAGCCGAATCAACAGGTGGAGATCTAATCTGCCTAATGATGCTGATGATAAATTGGTAGGACCTCAAATTTAACCTTACTTTAGTTTGTCGTTATTGAATATAGTAATGAGTAAGAATCGCTCCCGTAGAAGATTGATCTTAATTAATAAATTATAAATCTTGCAATTAAATAAAAGGGGGGTTTTGGATTCTAAACTAAAGAAACTAAAATTAAACAAGAAATCAAATAAAACAATGCTTGAAAATAAATAAAAAAATAATAAATAATAAAAAGACGGTTAAAGGATTAATCTCCACCTTTCGACAATGGAATTATGATGAATGAATGATAAAATTCCCAATTTCCTATAGAAACCACCATTAGTAGATAACAATAACCTATGCTATCCCAATCTTTCCTTAATTTATTGTTAAATAAAATAAGCTCTTTATTTAATCCATTTCCCTCAAATAACCTAGAACGAGCTCTCTAGATTAAATTCAATGGAAGCATTAAGTTAAAAAAGATAGGTTAATCTAGGCAATAAACACACAAGCTCGAAATATTCAACCTAGGTTATGTTCCACATGCAATCACACAAAAGCCTCTCGTAATTATTGACCACAATTCGCTACCGATAATTAGAAACTCAAGACAATTACAGATCAAGAATTCCTAATCTAGCAATAGATAATTTTCAAATCCTAATTGGTTGCGCACCAAAAAAATAAGAAAATAATCATGAACAATTAAATTGGAAGAAAATAAACGATTTCTATTGAGAAACTGGAAACAATATCAAATCATTCAAACATAAATTCCATGTCTAGGGTTTCAACATCACCCTTAACCAAAAAGAAAATTAGCATAACATAATGATAAAATAACACGATGAAAAATAAATGAAAAACACATGGAGTTTAGAGGAAAGAAGAAGAGAATAAAAAAAATCTAAGAATCTTGGAAGAAATCTTCACGCGAATGAATCCTCCTTGAATTTCTGATGAATTCCTCCTTGAATTTCTGATGAATTCCTCTCTCTCCAAAAGGTGGTTGGAATTTCTACGAAAAGATCCCTTTTTAAGCCCCAAAGTCCCCTATTTATAGATTTCCAAGTTTGGGTCAATTAGGGTAAAATTTGGAGTCCAAAAATCTAAAAATTCAGAAGTTATCACGAAGTAGCGCCACAGCCCCATTTTGTAGCGTCGAGGCCTTGGGCGGCATGGCTCTGTTTTGTAGCACCTAGGCTCTAGTGCCTCGGGTTTCTGGCTTGATTTTGTGGTTTTAAGCGCCGTGACGCCTATTTTCAAGGCCTAGGCGCCCGAAACTTCTCCAAATTGATCCCGAAACTTCTCTAAATTGATCCCGAAACTTCTCCAAATTAATCCCGAAACTTCTCCAAATTGATCCGTTTGAGTTTCCAAACTTGTTTTAACTTCCAAAACACCTAAAAACATAAGAACACAAATAAACACAAAATACTCAAGAATTAAGTAAGGAATCATGGAAAAATTGATAAGAAAACCATACCCAATTACGCACTTATCATATGCATAATAGTCTTTCATTATGTGCCACTCTATCGGAAAGCATATTCCTAGTTAACACACCAGAACACCACCACATGAAAGTTGGCACACACTAAAAAGGAAAAAAAATAAAACATAAAAAACTAAATTAAAGATATAAATAAGGGACATTCTTTGGTACATCAACATATCGGTAGGTCAGGTTTTTTGTTCGTCACATCTGCATAAAATCACGTAAAAATAAAAAAATACGCATATCTAACGGTTAAAAAAGCTTAACCTACCGGTATACTAAGCGTATTAGATAATCTCCCTATAAATAAATAAAATACTTTGTGAGGTTGATTTAATCAACATTACATAAATAGACTTTTAAGTAGTTTATTTATTTTTTCCAAATCTCCTAGATAAACCACCAATTAATAAAATAAGACATTTATGCTTAGTTAGTAGTATTCTTTTCCTATTAACTATTAAATGACATTTTCGTTATTCATTTGTTAAGGACTTATCAGAAAAATCTTAATTATCAGTATTCTTTTCATAACTAAATGATATTAAAATCTATACAATATTGTGATTCGTTGGGTCACCAACAACCTGTATATTCGGTATTTTGTTCTTATTTTTTGAAATTATGTTCCCAATTTTGTTTTTGTACAAAAAGTTGGAAACAAAATCCATGCCAGGATGTATTTTTGCTTGGAATGGACACCACATAAAGTGCTGGAAACGAGATAAGGTAACTATTAACTCATAGTACATGAAGATAAATGGAACTCTCTGCCGAGCCTGAGTTTTAGCTTTATGGATATGCATAAACCATACTTCTGTTTTTGTCTTTTTATTTTTAATTGATAATTGACAAATAACAATTTTTAATTGATAATGGACAAATAAGAAATAATTGAGCTGGTAAATTTGTAGACCACATATTGTGCAAATGCTTATCCCATATGATTATACAAATGAAACCTAGCCTTATGAAAAATGACTCGTGTTTCAAGGAAAATGGAAATGAAATAAAATGAATTCTTATTTACAACCAAGCATATCACCTTAGGAGAAACCAAACGCTTTTGCCACATTTTAAACGAAGATGGAGAAGTTTGAGAGTAAAAGTTTATTAGTGAAAATAAAGAAGAGTTTTCATTGCAGTACATTTTTTTTTTTTTTTATAATGGTTAGATTTAATTGAAATCATATAAAAACAAACAAACAAAAATGCCACATTAACAAAATACGAGACATATATGATAACTTAAAATAATACACTACCCTTCTGGTATTTTTTTTTTTTTCCATATTCTATTGTAAAAATCTCAAATAAAGAAATATAGAACTTCTCTAATAAATTATAAAAAAATAAATTATTGATAATTTTTTACTTTTAGTCATTAAAATTGAATAAAATCACATCAGATTAAAAAAAATATGTAAAATAAATAATTTATGATATAAATTAAAAATAAAACACTATCAATAATTCATTTTTTTAAATCTATCAACAAAATAAAAAAATAAAGAGTAAAAATAATAAGTTTGTCGTCTTTCTCAGCATGAAATATTTTGACAATAAAGTGTGAAAAATACTCTAGTACCAAATGATTAATTCTGTTAATACTTGACATTTGAAAATAAGTATTGCTTTTAATTGTTCTCTGTAAACTTTCTCATATTATATATGGTGTAAGACTGTAAGTTTTACCATCTCATAAATAGAACCAAATAATTATTTAATTAATTAGATTTTTAGTACACAATTAGTCCCAAAAGTGATTGGTGGGGTCTTAGGAAACAAAATAGTAAAAAGGCAAAACAGAGGGCCAACCCCAACTCTCTCTGTCCACTTGCTTGGCCACAATCATTCTATATACAGCGTCATCCATGACGTCACTACCCCGACAAGCCCGAGAAAACCATCCAACAAACTCACTATCCACGTGGCACCATCTCAACCGTCCAAGTTCCCCAACTGCTTACCTCAAAGACTCATGTAAGATCTCACCGTTGTTCCCCATCTACCTTCTTCTCTTCTCCTCATTTTTTCTTTACACAAAAAAAAAAAAAAAACAAAAAAAACAAAGACTCATCAGATTTCTCTCAGTGCCACTTTTTCAAGCCAACGGAAAGAGCAAAAAAAGCAAACGACAAGGAATTGGAAGGAAAGAAAAGGGCGAATAGTATCAATAATAGAGGGGAAAGTGGACGGAAATTAAAGAGAGCGGAAAATGGGTCATCTGGAGCTGATTAATTTTGAAGAGACGGAATTACGCCTTGGCTTGCCCGGCGGAAAAGGGGGCGGAAATAGTAGTACTTCTACTACTACTACTACTGCTGCTGCTACTGAAGGAGGGATTGAGGCAACAAAGAATAACGGTAAAAGAGGCTTCCCGGAGACCGTTGATTTGAAGCTCAATCTTTCATCCAAGGATTCTGGATCGTTGGATCAAGTAGACAAGAAAGAGATCAAGACTTCTCCTGTTTCTCCGTCCACTGATTCTGTCAAGCCTCCCGCTAAGTGAGTTAATTTTCTTTCATTTTGGTCCATTAATTATGAATTTTACTTTTTTCTTTTGGTTTTTCTATACATGTTAACAAATTAAGTTACATGCATGAAAATGAGTTATTAAAACCTCCTTCATTTTCACCGAGTTTTTAAATTTTTAGAGTAAAATTTTTTTAAAAAAATATCACATTTAATTTTTTTATTACAGTATAAAATTCTCATAAAATGTCAACGAATTGAATTAAAAACTCAAATATGTGAAGTTAACAGGTTCAATAATTATTAGTAAATAAAGCAGAAAATTAAGAAATAGGTCAACGGTTAAAATTAAGAAAATTAAGAAAATTAAGAAATAGTAAACATGTAAAGTATATATGATTTCTTCGGGAAATTTGAAGTTAAAAATGAAAGAGTTCCAAGAGGGGCATATTTCTGAATGAACGGATGAAAGAGATAATGTATACATATTCTTTTATTATTATTTCTTTAGTTTTATTCTCCGGAATATATGCCTTAGTTTGTTGAATAAGGTGGGGAAAGTGGGGTGCATGGTGAGCCATGCGTCAATAAAAACAATTCTTAAAAAACATTATCATCTTTGTGTGGCCTTTAGTTATTATTTTATTTATTTATTTAAGAAAGATATTGATCTTTTCTTTAATTATTCTGTTTTAGATGTCTAGAAAAAAAAAATGTAATTATTGTGTAAAATATTCGGTTTGAAGGGTTTTGAAAAGCAATGGGTGTTCAATGTACGCTAACCACATATACAGAGCAGATTGGGTTTTCCTTTTTGAAAGGCTTTGGTTGGTTGTCGGGAAGACAAAGGAAAAGAACAAAACATAAGGAATCTTTACTACTTTTCTCTCAACCAACCAAAAGAATTGCGGAACAACTCAAAAGTAAAAACGTGAACAGTCAGAGGAAAAACAAAACTACACGAAACAAAAAAAAGTTCCATTTGACAACTCTCTCTCCTCCCACGTAGTGACACTTCATAGGTAGAAAAACATTTCTAAAAACAAAAAAAATATTATTATTACCAACTTTTCTTTATAGTATCTCTTTTAGAGGTAGAACTATAATCCTATCTTCATATTTTGGGATTTATACACATCCTAGTTTATCAGCTGTCACGTATAATAAAATATGACAAGAAAATAAAGATCGTTGATATCTTAATCACTGGTTGAGATTCGAATTGCACATACATTTTAAGAAAAAAAAATTTGTACTAAGCCTCGGTCTTTTTTTTTCTTAAAAAAAAAAATTGTTGAACTTACTTTCAAAATGCATATGGGTTTAGATTTTTATTTTTTATTCTTAATTAATATTATCTCGATTAAAAAGTATATTAATCAAGAATAAACGATAAAAATTTAAACCCATGTACTATAATGAGTATTTGTCTCGTTTTCTTTTCTTTTTTCTTAGAAATGTATTGCAAAACACACCGTAATCTTAATATAAGTCAAATTAAAAATTGGGAAAATCATACTAATATTGGGGTGACTTTGAAAATCAGGGCACAAGTTGTGGGTTGGCCACCAGTGAGATCATTCAGAAAGAACATAGTTTCTGCCCAAAAAAACAGCGGAGATCATGAGGCAGTAAAGGCAGGCGGCGGCGGCGGCGGCAGCAGCAGCAGCGCAGCGTTTGTAAAGGTTAGCATGGATGGTGCGCCATATCTACGTAAAGTGGACCTCAAGTTGTACAAAAGTTACCAAGAACTTTCTGATGCTCTTGGCAAAATGTTCAGCTCCTTCACTATTGGTACGTCCACTAAATTTGTTATTATTTTTATTTCTTTAATATTGTAGAGCTAGAATGTTTTTGTAACTAAGGAAGTGGTACATTTTTGTGCTCAATTGTGTAGGTAATTGTGGGTCACAAGGAATGAAAGATTTCATGAATGAGAGCAAATTGATAGATCTTTTAAATGGTTCTGAGTATGTGCCCACTTACGAAGACAAAGATGGAGATTGGATGCTTGTGGGTGATGTTCCATGGGAGTAAGTTCTCAATTACCAGTGTAATTTATCAACTTTAATATGTAGTAACTTAATTATGTGAACATTGTTTCTAATAAGTTGCACGCTTTGATTTTGCAGAATGTTTGTTGATTCATGCAAGCGATTACGGATAATGAAAGGATCCGAAGCTATCGGACTTGGTTAGTAATCAATTAATTTTCATGATCATGAAATCAATTTTTTGTTGCCTAAATAGAAAAAAGAAACAAATACTAATAAGCTATTTTCCTCCAATATGCAGCACCAAGAGCAGTGGAGAAGTGCAAGAACAGAACTTGAAGCAATTTTTTCGCAATGAACTACTGAACTTGGTCGAATTTCTCCCTCCGACACGATCAAATGGAAGCAAACCGGCTCGAAAGGGATCGAGCACGGAGTTTGAATGCGTCTGTACCATGTTTTTTCTTTCTCACTCTTTTTTTTTTTTTTTTCCTTTTTCTTTTCAAGCTTTAATATGTTCAAATTATATGAGAGAAATGTTTCGGAAGTTTCTTGGTGACAAGGAGCAATAATATAGAAGATGTTCATATTACCTTGCTCGCCATGTGTAACTTTGCTTTTTATTTTTGTATGATTTTGTCTAATAATAATATTTGTCAATGTGTTAGTTGTCATTGGGTGCATTTGTTCCCCATATATATTTTTTTCTTTTTGCTAAATTGGTGTGCACTATTTTATGTGGTTCTTGATGAGATTCTTTGCATTGTGTACATAATTTTATTTATAAACTTTATTTCAGTTTTTCCGGTTGGTTTGGGAGAAAATAAGATTCCGAACAAACAGACAGGATTATACATGGCCATGTGAACATTGTTGGGAGCGTTTATTCATTTCATATAATTTAATTGCAATGATTCAATGATAACAGCTATGCACAATACGTTGTCCCCACCAAAGGCAATAAAATATTTTCTGCAAAATGCATTAATTTGATGGGTTCTCATCAGAAGTTGATAAAGTTAAAGCAAATTATTTATAGAGAATCATGCCAAAAAAATTATAATTAACTAAAAAAAATATACTACATATTCTCTCCCAAATTGTTAAAGTTGCACTCGAGATATATTGTTTTGATGGACAGGTGGAGTATATATATTTTAAAGGAGTCTCTCTGTTGAACTAGAAAAAAATGATAATTTATTTCCTTTTCAGTCATTAAATTTTTATTAAAAATGATATGTTTTACATATTTTTTTAATTTAATGTAATTTTTAATAGATTCAACCGTAGAAACTGACCTTACCGATAGACTAGCCTACTGGAGGTCTCATATTTTAATTGTGATTTTGTTTGTGTTTTCTTTTTCTTTTTTTTTCATTGTTTTAGTAGCAATAAGTTATAAATAAATGACTTTCTCCGGTACACTAATATATATCGGTATAATAAGTTTTTTGTCCATCAAATTTACATAAAATCACGTAAAAGTTAAAAATATGATATTTAATAATTAAAAAACTTAACCTACTAATACGTCCAGCATATTAGAGAACCTCCCTATAAACAAATACAACTTGCAACTTTCTTTAAAAAAAAAATACAACTTGCAACTCACAGGGAATAAGGAAAATTAACATAGCCCAGAGGAACATGCATGTGTCGCGCTGCTTATTGCATGAAAACGGGACATGTTGGTTACATTAAAGATCTCCAACATAAAATTGGGGATCTAAAAGATATACATATATATATATATATATATATTTCCATTTCCTTTTCAAGAATCTTGAAAGTCATTAAAGTTGATGCACATTACTCCGTTCCTTTTTCCTTTTGGCATGAGAAAATCTCTTCATCATAAAACTAGGGATTTGCAAGATCTCTTTTATGTGGATTTACCAACATAAAACTTGGGATTTGGAAATTTTGTACTTTCCACCTTTTTTTTTAGATTCTTTGAACCATTACAGCATGGATGATATATTATTCTGCCCTTTTCGAATATATATAAAAGCAAAGCAATGACTTATAAAAAAAAATGTTTATGTGTCTCACTTATCTAAATTGGTTATAAATAATGTGTGTTTATTTATGTGGCGGCTATACAGAGTTGTACAATGAGACCTAATGGGGCCTGATGTATACATTTTCATTTGAAGTAACGATCTATAATTGGCATGACAAAATAACAACTAAAGATGGAATATAAGGCTCTCGATGATTGCTCCGTGGAAGATCCGGCAGCGCTGTGACAGAGGACTGCACACTCCATTCTTCACAGAGCAAAAAGGTCAGGTTGTCTAAGGATGTGATCGGAATAATAGCCAAAAATGTGAGAATTTGGAAACAAGGCTCTTAGATATATGATGATTAAAACACTTGCCCAAATCTAAAACTCCCTGAATGCATGAGATCACATTTAATACTCTGAATACTTCCATTTTTGGAGGTCATAGTAGATGTTGGTCATGTCAGGTCGGAATTAAGCTATTTGTGGTTAAGTAGCCATTATTTGGAGCACCCGAAACAAATTGCTCCGAGAGAGCTTCTGTAGGCGGGCCAAAGGTTTGTATAGAAACCTTCTCGGAGGCAAACACGGCATTACTCCAAGATAGAAATTTGACACAAGAAAAGCCTCTTTTGAGCTAAAAGATGATGAATCAAGACTTTCTGGCGGTAGGGAAGGTTTTAAGAGATAGATTTGAGCTTCCAAAAGATAGGAGGAAGGCTTAAACAAGGGAATTTGGGCTTCCAAGACACGGGGAAGGCTTTTAGGGATTGAATTCTACATCACACATTTATTCTTAACTTGATTAACCTCTGAGTGGGATTTAAATTAATGTTGAAGTTAAGAGATAAATTGTCCCACTTGATTACCTATGGCCTATGAGGGTTTTCCTAACATGGCTTGGGTGCACGAAACGAGCTCAACGATATCACATGACACGGTAATTAGGCATGGACCATATACGTTTTACCATTTATTCTTGATAAATATCCTTTTATTAGTGTAATTACTTGACTAAAAATATTGTGAATTAAGAGTAAAGAGTAAAAATTATGACTCATGAGGTATGGACCATACATGCTTTACCCCTTATTATTAATAAATATTCTTTTATTAGTGTAATTATTTAATTACAAATATTATGAATCAAGAATAAATAATAAAAATTATGATCCAAAAATTTTTAAGAGTTTTGTAAGATTATCCTTCTCTCTCTCTCTGTTTTTTATTTTATTTTATTTGTGTGGTAACAAAGCCTTGAAATTCGAACTGCAGGTTGGTGTTGATATCCAGGCCCATATATGCTTCAAATGGGCCGGAGTCAGTGCAGCTAAAGGACTCAACGGAAGAAACGGAGAATCAGCCCTTGAGATACAAAACCTTTACCCTTATTTTTTTTGTTTTGATAAATACTCTTTTATTAATGTATTATTTAATTAAAAAATTATTAATAAAAAATAAAAAATCTGATTCATGTAGAGATATTTATCAAAAATTACCCAAGTCAATGAACAAGTGTAAATGCCATTTAAGAAGTAACGTTAAACAAGACTACCCCGGTGCTTTGTTGCACAGCGAATTTGGGAATTTCAATGGGCCCCACAAAAAATCTAACCATAGCCATCCGTTTAATTATTTTCCACCGGTAGGAAAAAGTGACTCACTCATCATGGATTCTCCATTACTTCTTTGTTGAAATTTTGACACAGTGAGAATTTTTTTTTTTTTTAATAAGGAAGTTGAAGATAAATTAACCAATAGCCATCAACACTTATAATAGATGAGTTATAATTAAGAAACTCTAATATTTATCGATACTTAACCGAAAGACATATTGTGCTAATGTGTGAGACATGATAAGAACGTCCACGAATCATAAAAGTTAATAGTGATATAAAAAAAATTGAAAAATTATAGTAAATAGGCCAGCTTTTAAAATCTGTGGAATTAATTAGCCTATTTTTTTTTAAAGATTATAAATTATTAGGCCTTTTTAATTTAAAATATTGTATTTTCTAAATTTACCTTTTTATTAATTTTTTTTTTCCTTTTATGCTCAATCTTCTCCATCCTTTCTTGTTCTCTCTATTGTCTTCTATCTTCTCTCTATTCAGTAACTCTCTTCCTCCCGACAACATTCTCTCTGCCACTTTACTTTTTCTCCGGCGATTTCATATCTCTACGTCTCTCGTGGTCACCTTCAATAGCAAATTTGCCGTCAACGGTCTAGCGATGATCGCGCCACTCGAATTTTGTGACGGTCGTAGCCATCACTGGGCTTGTGCCAGGGATCGAAGAGAGTATGGAAAGAGAGAGAACATAGACTAGGGTTTTTTAGGAGGAAGATGGAGAAAATAAAGTCTGATTATGTTGTATGTAATTAGCGTATTTTAGGGATTTTAATTAAGTGTAGATCTAAACTTACATTAAAATAGTCTATTTAGTATTTACTATTAATTTAAAATCTTGGCCTATTAATTTTTATTCTTGTTTTAGTTTGAACTATTTCCCTCCTCCCAAAAAAGTTTTACAAAATGTGTACATATGTGCTCAAGGGACAAAATGTTCTATTTGATTGATGTGAAAGAGAAGATTAGGGCCCGTTTATTTTATATATTTAAACTCAAATTATTAATTCTGCTACAATATTTTTTTCTCACAAAAAATTTAAAGAGTGGTTATATTTACACCTTAAAAATTTATAAATTCACCCACTAATTAATACTCATTTATTAAAAGATTTGAAAAAATTTATACTTTTATAGATACCAGTTATAAGCGCGCGCTCTGCGCGTACACGCTCAGCTTGACGAATTTATTCAACATAGAAATGAAAATATGCTCTACTTTTGTATGATATTTTAGAGATTGTGAATATATATCTATATATATGTAGAATGAAAGAAAGATGAAAATCAAATTTATTCTATGGTTATTTAGCATTTTGATTAGTGAAGTTCACACAGATGAGCATAAAGCTAAATGATCATTTGATTTTAATTTTCAAACAAAATTCATGTATTAAGCATAACTATAAGCTTCAAAAAGTTGCAATTACGCAAAAGTTAGTGGAGCAAATATTCTAAGAGGACGAAAAAATCACTCCAATGTAGTACAAAATATGTAAGTGCAAGTAATTGAAGGGATTGATGAAGCTTGTTGCTCAGTTGTATGGGTGGAAATACACAGTATTTATAGCTTTAGCCTGAAACAAAAAAAAAAAAAGAATAATGCCAACTTAAAAATGAAAGAGAGATGGCAGCAACCTAGCACGCATGAAAATAATTAGAGAGAGATTATCGGGAAAAGAACATTTTGTGGATGTTTGGTTCATGGGTTCAAAATCATGATTCAGAATTATTCTCAGTTTACATGTGTTTTTATGAGAGAAAATATCATAACAAGTTAGATACATTATCCGAACTATGAGACAAATTTTTACTCCAAACGCAGCAAAATCATTTCAGTTATTATGTGTGGATCAGAACAATTAGTTAGAGAATTAATATTAGCTCAAAATTTTCCGCGGAGATTTTATGTTCAAAAAAGGGACTCCAGGTATCAAAATGATACTTTTTTCAATGCGAAGGTACATTTTTAATAATATTGAGAACACAGGATAGCTGAACGACTTTAATAGTTTTATCTTTTTTTTTTTGTTTTGTTTTGTTTTTTTTTTGTTTAGTAGGCCACTTTTCTCAACCAATCAACAACAAAGACACAATTTTTTTTAAAAGACAATTATTTTTAACCGGGTTCTTTATAACCAGGTAGTTTCATTTCTATAAATCTATAAAACACAAAAAAAGCTCAATGTTTAATATGTTTAAATTATTTATCACGCCAAAACAAAAGATATATGATTAAATAATAGAAAGTTTGGTAACAAAAGCATCATATATCGGTTTGAATCACAATTCAATGCACCATAATTTAAATCACCACAACTCAAACTAAATCAACAAAGCATAAGATATTGTCGCCTTCTCTGATATACCATGGTGTCGTATTTAATAGTCTGTCACCTGTCGTTTACATAGCTCTGTCGTTTTATCCAATTTATGCAGTTTTATTTGATTTTATCGTGTAGCTATATTATTGTTTTCTTAATATTTGGCGATGTTATGTTTTAGAATTACGTCAATTTACAGTCATTAAAAAAAAATCTTTGCTATGTAATAATATTGATAGTTTATATCCATTTTGTATGATGTTGTTTCATCAGGATTAAGTTGTTTTGGTTTGATGCACTTATTATATTTTTTTTTTTTAGGATTATGTCGTTTTCGGATGATGTTTTTCCATATGTTGTTTTCAGTTTCTGAACGTGATATCAGTTTTTAGAATGTGTTCTTTTTAATAGTTAAAAGACTATGTTGTTTTGAAACTGGTGTTGATTTTTAATGTCGTTCAACCATGCAATTGTTGTGTTTCAGATAGTTTCGTTTTCAGGATGCTTGCCTTTACACTATCCCATCGTTTTACTAATTCTGGTTGTTTCCAACATTCTTGTTTTACACACACTGTCGCAGGGATGACAATTGACACATAACGCGACTTGAAACTCGCACGAAGTTAGTAGGTTTAAGTTTATCATAAATGAGTTTGGGTTATAATTAGATTGACACCAGGGTTGGGTTAGGGTTAGATTTCTAATCCAAAATGACCTGAGTTAATACGATTAACTATGTATGTAATTTGTAAATCAATTATATATGATATAATATAAAAGTTTTAAATGGATTATTAAATACATATATAATGTCTTTCAAAATTTTTAGATAAATTTTACTTGTTTATCTTAAAAGAAAATGTAAATTGATTAATAAAATTGTTAAACATTTTATGATCGTGTTAAATAAATCCCAATTGTATCAATTATTTATTTATTATATTAACTTAAATGGGCTGCGCGGGTTGATACGATTAACATGATTAGTAAACATGTCGTATTTGTGTTGACATTTTTTATACGCGCAATAAATGTGTCGTAATTGGATTGATGTTTTCTGACACGATTAATAAACGGATTGAATACAAATACTACCTATTAACATGAATTGCCATCCCCACACTTCATTGGTTGAAAATGATATTATTTTCTCCCATGACCACTACGACAAATGACATTATTAAGGTGGATTAGGGCTTGACTATGAGAGGATGCAAGTTGGATTCCATATTAAATAATATAGAAAAATGAAAATGACATTAGTTTTGTAGAATCCTATCGTTGGTAAATCATCACCAAAAGTATTAAGGCACAAGGAAGAACAAGGAACGAAAAGATAAGAGGACGTGGCAGGAAGGGAAAACGGGGTGGAAAGAGAAGGAAGCAGAGTTTTGATAATTATATGTTAGAAACCAATAACCACAAATTCCAAAAAAGAGTTGGGTGTTCAACAACATTACAAAACCGATCAATTTCACTCAATTAATCAAATCAATCTACGTGGTTTACTAGTAATTTCTCACCTATTAGGCCAAAGAGTAGAATATTCGAATACACTAATCACTCCGATTAATATTAGATCGAACGCTTAATCACAGTAGTATAATTTTTAACACTATCTCCAAAGTTTATATAAGCTATTTAAACCCCGTTCATTTTACCGATTCGAGTTTTCAATTTTAAGTTTATATAATAAAAAGCTCACAGAAAATGTCACATCTAACTTTTTTTACTACAGTAAAAAATTTTTAAAAAATATCACATCTTAACTCGAATTAAAAACTTAAATTCGCGAAGCGAACAGGCCTTAATATCTTACCCATAAACGACAAAAAAAAAAAGAAGCCTTTCTAAATGCAAGTGGGCAATAAAAAATATATATACGTATTTACATCAAAGAAGAAAATCCGGTGGACCAATAATCTGACACTAACGTTGTCCATACCCTCTTAACATTAATTATCCCCCGCCGCCTCCCATGTTCTTTCATAGTACCCTAGCCGCCACATATAATCAACCTAACTACGTCCAAGTTAGCCCTCGCCCCTCCTCAACCATCAGATCAACTGACTTCTCTCCTTTCAAACAGCACAAGGACCATCCAACGGTCTGCACACTAGGCCCCACAAATTGCCCAGCACTCTCGTTAACACAGAACTATATCCGACATAATTGCAACAATAGGGACATCATTGACAAATTCAATCATCAGAAGATCACTCACACACAAATGGATACAATTTAATTCAGCAGGCCTCTAGTGTTGTGATCTTAAGCATTCAAAAGTTGGGCACAAAAAAAAAAAAAAAAAAAAAAAAATTATGGGCAGGATTTCTTTTAGCCTTATAGTATTAGGCTTGGCGTGGCTAGCTGTTGGCGCAAGAGGTGAGCAATGTGGTCGGCAAGCCGGGGGCGCGATTTGCCCGAACGGGCTGTGCTGCAGCCAGTATGGGTGGTGCGGCAGCACGTACGAGTACTGCTCGCCGGAGGTGAATTGCCAGAGCAACTGCTGGGGCGCACCAGCGCCAGGACCTGAATATGTTGTGCGAGCAACATATCACTACTACAATCCTGCGCAGAACAATTGGGACTTGTTGGCAGTCAGTGCTTATTGCTCAACATATGATGCTAACAAGCCCTACTCATGGCGCAGCAAATATGGCTGGACTGCTTTCTGTGGATCGGGCTCTTCCTTCCCTGATGCTTGCGGCAAATGCTTAAGGGTAAGATTAATAATGCAAACAACAGATTAATTGATATTCCATCTTTACAAAAATGTTAAAACAATAGGGGAGTGTTTTTTATAGTTGGATTTTTATTTTTTAAGAGTGGATTTTGCACGGTCAACACGAGAATATTGGCGATCGTCGTGGTTGTTATTATTTTTTTAACAAGTTAGAAATTGTCAAATAAGATAATGATCTCAAAGTTGACATGTAAATATGCGATTGGTTAAAAGTTGCCAATATTATAGGTAGATATTTGCTTCCTAATATTTTATACACACGTTTATAAAGGGTGTTACCTTTGGTTATGATGAAAATGTTATTAGGCCAAAAATTAGTGCCTAACTCCTGAAAAAGCTCACGTGTCAATTTTCGATGTTGTGCGCAGCTAAGAAATGTAAGAACTGGAGCCACAATAACTGCAAGGATTGTTGACCGATGCAGCAATGCTGGCTTAGATTTGGACTACAGCACTGTGTTCCAACCTCTGGACACCGATGGGGTTGGATGGCAACAAGGCTCTATGGACGTCGGCTACACTTTTGTTGACTGTGGCGACGGGCTTAGTGATCATCCTTTGAGTTCTATTATTGATGAAAAGTCTTCTTGATTGTAAAATAAATGCTAAAGAGTGATCTGCTAATATGTATCACGATGGGTTGAGGGTTGAATAAACTTTGGAACGTTATTCCAAAGGATTGCCTGTCTGTAATGTTCTTTCTTCTGAGAACGTTGAGTTTGTCTCTCGTTGTATGTTTCAAACTCTTTATATATATATATATATATATATATATATATAAATATATATTTCATTGAGATTTTCGTCTTTATGTTTCTTGAAGTCCTAATCGTGCAGATATTCTTGAGTTACATCATATGCCCCGCTCATTCCACCGATTCAAGTTTAGAATTCGAGTTTTATTATAATAAAAAGCTCTCAGAAACAGTCACATCTAACTTTTTTACTATAGTAAAATTTTTTTAAAAACAGTCATATCTAACTTTTTTATTACAGTAAAAAGTTCTCCATAAAGTCACATCTCAACTTGAATTAAAAACTCAAATCAGCGAACTAAACGGACCCTATAATGTGTTCCGAGACAAATTTGATAATATGTTTTGTTTTTTTGGTATACAATGTGAGATTGAACCTGCGTCATTTCCCCCACAATACCCGGTCCTAATCTTTGATTTATTGGTCATTAGCCAGCATAACAGCAATATGGGTTTTCTCTCAAGTGGCTTCCTCTGAATTTAATAATAGGATCCTTGGCGAGTAATATTATAGATTGGGCCATGTAACCATATTTTCTAATCAATTTCACATGATGAACAAGCTTTTTGCTCGTGTTGTACGCTTAGTCAAATTTTTTGACGGATGATTTCTAATTCACGCTTTAAATATCATATATAAATTGAAACACAACACAAGTTTCATTGAAAAAGCCAGTTATAAATAGCTAGATTCATTGCATGGGGGCTTTTGGGTGGGGATTGGGAAGGAAAGTGGGGAAAAAGAAAATAAGAGCACGTTTGGTATAAGAGTTTTAGAACTCGAAACTATGATTCTGAAAAGTAAAAAGTAATTCTAATTTGATTCACTCAAAATTAATGTTTAGTTTAAATGATTATGATTCAATATTTAAATCCTGATGTGACGTTTTAAACTAAGAATTATTCCTAATTTTAAAACCACCCCTTAATTTTGAGTGGTTCAAACCCTTAATTCTAGTTCTGATTTTAGAATTATGATTTAGATCCAAAATCATGAATTATGATTATGATTCTAAAATTAAAATTATAATCACTCTGATTTAAAATCTTCCACCAAACGAAGCCTAAAAGAGCCTATTTTCTATTAGATAATTTGATTCACTCAAAATTAATGTTTAGTTTAAATGATTATGATTCAATATTTAAACCCTGATGTGACGTTTTAAACCAAGAATTATTCCTAATTTTAAAACCACCCCTTAATTTTGAGTGGTTCAAACCCTTAATTCTAGTTCTGATTTTAGAATTATGATTTAGATCCAAAATCATGAATTATAATTCTGATTCTAAAATTAAAATTATAATCACTCTGATTTAAAATCTTCCACCAAACGAAGCCTAAAAGAGCCTATTTTCTATTAGATAATGACGCAAGAGAAAGTGACAGTAAAAATAAAAGGCAGAGGAAAATTTTCTTTCAAGTAATCACACAGAAGCATTGAATATTCGCACATAGATAGATATATACAAGATAATCTTATTTCCACCCATAATAATTTGGCCTTATCCAATACTAAAAAGTTTCCATGGGTCCCAACGCTCTTACATATAGGTTTATAATAGGTTTATTTAATCTAGTCCATTGGATATAACATAACGGATAAGATTTGAACAGTATTGTAAGTTGTCTACTTTATTGTTTACATATGACAGTATGCTATAACATTTTTCTCTTTTACTATAGGATTATACGTAGGCTAGTTGTGAGGAATATTCTCTTAACTAAACTTGTGAATTAACAAGAAGAAGAAGAAAGGAACAGAAACGACATTCTTTAATGTCTGGTGAAGACGAATGCTGCAAGTCGTTTTATTGTGAGAACAGTGAACTTAAAACGCAACGTTTTATTAATGCTGGTTTGGAGCAAGTAGCTGAGCAACGCGTGGTTATCTGTAGAGGCGGTGCCATGTCATCATCATTTTCTCAACGGATATAGATAACATATTCAAGTTATTTATCTGGTTCAGTTTTTTGAGATCTCAGTTTTCTGTTTTAGAGGGAGAAATCAAGAGAGAGAAACTGTACGATTTCGGAAAGTTATTGTCTCCTTCTCAGATATACGATGGTGTCGTATTTAATATATTTATATATGTACATATATTATTATTACTATTATTTTTTTTTGTATTTGATAATTTGTCACCTCACTGATTTATTGCCGTTTACTTAACTCTATCGTTTTATCCAATTTATGCCGTTTTGTTTGATATTTGGCGACGTCATGTTTTAAAATTATGTCAAATAATACTATATAGTCATTTTTTTGAAAATGAAAATCTTCGCTATATGATAAGATAAAGTTTATTCCCCTTTTGTATGATGTTGTTTCATTAGGATCAAGTTGTTTTGGTCTGATGCTCTTGTTTTTTAGTTTTATGTCGTTTTGAGATTATGCTTTTTCATATGCTGTTGTCAGTTTCCGAATGTGATATCGGTTTTTAGAATATGTTCCTCTTGCTATATTTTAGAATAATTCTACCATTTTCCTATGCTATTATCGTATGCCCAAAGACTACGTCGTTTTCAAAATGGGCTTAGTTTTTAATGTCTTTTAAACAAATTAGCAATTGTTGTCTTTCAGATAGTTTCGTTTTTAGGATGCTTGCCTTTTACTATTCCATCGCTTTACTTATTCTTGTTGTTTTCGATGGTGTTGTTTTTCAAATACTGTTGTTTTGCAGGATATGTTCATTAGTTGGAAATGATATTGTTTTCGCCCATGACCACTGCGTCAAATAGTATGAGTAAGGTTGTGAGAGGGCGCATATTCACTGCCGAACAACGTGCAATGTGTAGAGGTTGTGAAGGCCTAGTTCACTGCGAACTTTCATATTAACATTTGTTCCGACATGTAATCAAATCTCATAAATCGTATGGCAAAGAGAGGAGGGCTTACCGTGTTCGATCTTGTGGAAGAATGAGTATAATCTTCCGTGAATAACCCCAAACGTGATTCTGATGAAGTACGGAAAAATCTCCTCCGCCGTCTACGACCGGCCCAATATCTCCACTTATGCAGAGGTTGAGATTGACGGTGGTAGAGACATCTACACAAAATAACAGCCAGCGAGGACGTTGTGATTTGATGAATGAGCTATTTTCTCCGTTTTGGACAAATCGGTGAACGGCGAGGAAAGATTTTCTCGGTTAATAGAACAAGATCTGGCTCAAACGGAACAAGATCTGTCTCAAACAAAACAAAGATCAGGCTCAAACGAAATAAGATCTGGGTTGCAGCTTCACCACGCAGGTTTAAGAACACGAATCAGGGAATCATCGCTGTAGATGATGGGAATGGATAGAGAAGAGAGAGCTTTCGGAGGAAGAGGGAAGAAAACGGTAAGGCGCGCAGAGAATCTGAGCAGAGTTTGGCAGAAATCTTTCACTGTAGCTCAGATTCGAGTTAAAAAGGGAATTCAGTCGGTGGTTGAGTTCTAATTCACGGGCATTAACTCGAATTGTGATTTGAATAACAATTCAGACAGAGTTCACCGAACACATATTTGGGCTGTGGACTCAACTTGAGTTGGGCTTACTCAAGTTGAGTCCACCAAACGAACACCCCCTCAATTCTCAGCATTTGAAAATCTAAATGCAAGTGGGCAATAGAATATCTAATACTACACATATTTTCATTAAAAAAGAAATAGTAGACAAATAATCTGATACTAATTTTGTTCATACCTTCTTAATTAACGTATATCCACAGCCGCCTCCCATGTTCTTTCATAGTACTCCCAAGTCCTAAATCAATTAGCCGCAATATATATTAATCAATCTAACTTATACGTCGTCCTTAGCACCCAACCAACGGATCATCTGACTTTTCTCCTTTCAAACAGCCCAAGGTCCATCCAACGGTACCCTCTACATAAGGCCCCACAAACTTCCTAGAACCTCATTAACACAAACTATATATATATCTGACAATATATAACTGCAACAATACAATTTAATAATCAAGAACGTTACTATATAACGCAAGCTAATCTTTCTGCTAGCTACATTCGTTGAAAAAGTCTTCTGTAAAATAAGCTAGATTCGTTGCATATATATATATATATTATACGTCGTCCTTAGCACCCCTCTTTCCTTCCCAGATCCCCTATTTCCAATGTAATTTGGCCTTATCCAAGACTAAACAGTTTATATTATAGGCAAGTAAATAAATCTAGTACACAATATGAAAAGAAAAAAAAGAAAGAAAAAAAGAGAGAGAAAAAAAAGACTCAAAAAGTTTTGTCCATGTCCCCTCAATAAACAATTATCTTAGCCGCCTCACACGACTTATTTAAGACCCTACAATGACTAATTAGCCGCCACACATATCACACCGCGATCATCTCCACCTTAGTAGTCTACCATTGGATCAGCTGACATTGTACGTTGCAAAGTAACACCCGAGGAGCATCTAACGGTCTGTAAGTAAAGTCTACAGTTTCATCGAGTAACTCCGTAAGACTTTTAAATTAAAGGTGTCAACATTATTGCAACAACGTGGACGCTCAATATTTTTCATAATTATTGTACTATCCATTATTCATATAATTGTACTATAAAATGGAAACCTATCTTTGATGCTTCAAGCAATCTCTAGCATACAAGACATTCCACATTCACAAAGTAAAAATGGGCAGGCTTATCTATTGCACGTTGGTACTATATTTGTGGCTCGTTGTTGGTGCGTTAGCCGAACAATGTGGTAAGCAAGCCGGTGGCAAAACTTGCCCTAACAGCCTGTGTTGCAGCCAATTCGGGTGGTGTGGCAACACCGATGAGTACTGTTTGCCCTCTAACGGGTGCCAGAGCAATTGTAAAGGCGGTGGCGGAGGAGGTGGGGGTGGAGCCAGCGCCACTAATGTTCGAGCTACGTATCACTACTATAACCCGGAGCAAAATAGATGGGACTTGAATGCGGTTAGTGCTTATTGTTCTACTTGGGATGCTGGAAAGCCGTATTCATGGCGTAGTAAATATGGATGGACGGCTTTCTGTGGCCCCGCCGGAGCTCACGGCCAAGCCTCCTGTGGCAAGTGCTTGAGGGTAAGGGGTCAATTTATGCAACTTATCTTGTTAGCAATGTTGGACTAACATTACTAAAGTATATTTGTGAGTGTGAATTTTCTGTTCTACATACACCTATCTTTTAAGTCCACGTGCAGTAAGATACATCATGGTCACAGATTTAGCCTGGTTTTTGTCTGTGCACCTCTAATATTGACGTCCCAAGTTTGATTGGACATGTTCCAGACCAAAAAAATAAAAATAAAAAGTTTAACTGGACACCGTATATGAATCATGGGTCCAGATAGACTATAGCCTAGTCAAATTAGTTACATTAATTCTCTGTTTAATTAACTTGCTGATAATTAAATTAGTCTTTTAAGTTTTCTTTTTTATTCTCCTCCCAATTAGTTGTTAAAGTTGTCACAATTGGTATTCATTATTCAACACCTGTGGCTCACACTATATATGAAACTTGCTGATAATACGAGTAGTGTTCTCAAACATTTTTCTTATTATATGTCGAAGGCAGCTAACAACTATATTGTCACGCAACATTTTTCTTGTAGTGGGAATAGTAGTAGAGAATTTTGTTATTCAAACTTATGAGCAATTGACAATATATATTTGCAAACAGGTTACTAATACGGGGACTGGAGCCCAGCTTACTGTGAGGATTGTGGATCAGTGCAGTAATGGTGGCTTAGATTTGGACTACAATACTGCTTTCCGAAAATTGGACACCGATGGAAGAGGTTATCAACAAGGCCATCTCATAGTGAACTACCAATTTGTCGACTGTGGCAATGGGTTTAATCCTCTTCTTTCTATTGTCGATAAACAATAAATTTCTTTTGGAATGCAAAATGCCCCCACAACAATAATACATGTTTTAATGAGAAGCTGAGAGTTAATTATATCTATGGTATAATAATTAGTTGTTGTAATAAACTCTCGGATATATACATCCGATAGGTGTGCTGTAGTGTACGTATCTTTATTGTTCTTGTTAAAGAACAGTTGAGTATTTGTTACCGTCTTGTACGCTTCAAGATTTTTATACTACAAATAAAACATGATTATGGAGGTTATTCAAGAATTAAGTAACATGATATGGTGTTTTTGGCGTTATTCTCTGTTCACTGTACGTCAGATTTTTGTAAATTGGTTTGATAATGTTAGAACCGGTTATGTGCTTTTACCGTGTTTTCTTATAAAATTGATTAAAGATTACCAAAATAAAACACAAAAGCAGAGTAAATACCACACAACGATTAAACGTGATTCAGTCAAACCGACCTACATCTACGGGGCCACGCCCAGACATCAAGCAATCCACTAATAGGTACAAAGTTACAGACACCAATCGAACTTAACCAACCCAAGACTCCCTCTTGACTATCGACGCCGCTGTGTCTAACACCCTAAGTGGCTAGCTTGACGAACACCACTCGTCTTCAAACGCCTTCTCCCGAAAGCTCACAAAATCTTCTCTCAAAGAACAAAATTGATGAACGCTATATCTCTTCAACTTGTGCACTCCGTACTTTATCAGAATTGCAGTCCATCATCTGATTTCTCGTACAGCAACCTTTTATAAACTGATCTAATTCAACATCAGAATCTATCTCAGAATCTATAGTTATAGATAAGACATTTATCAATTTAAAATTCAAAACACGTAATCTGCTTCGCATATTCCAGTTTCAGTTTCCTTGACCCAGATTCCCAGCACTCTAATCTCTTTTTAGATGATATCTTGATCTTCAAAATGAATTCATCATGAAATACAGTTTTGAATAAACCTTTTATTCAAACTAAAACAAAATCTTTAACAGATATTTGTTTCAATTTCAAATCCTGGTTTAAATCAAAATACCAACACAATCTTGATCTTTTCCACGAAATTCTCATAGCCTTATCTTAATTCAAAACTGTGAAGCTAATTTCTTCTATTTGAACGAACCAAAAAGCTGATCTTCTTCTATTCGAACGAACCCAACGAATTCGAAAGACTAACTCTAGATTTTGTCAAAACGCACAGCATTACTTAAGGAACAAAACGACTCAAACAACAGCTATACGATTTTTCTTGACACTTTCAAAATAAACAATCCAAACATGAAGCCCAACTAAACCAACCAAAGCCTAAAACATAAAAAGAGAGCCAAAACGACTCACACGACTCAACAGATAATTACTTCAAACAAAATAGTACTCTCTAAAGTCAATAAGATTTGAGTGTACTTAGTCTCTCACGTTCCATAAAATTTCAGGAAAATTGGTTTTTTTTTTAATTATGTTAAGACAAAATGATGATTGTTCTATACTAATATATGTGACTATAATCTAACTAATTAACCTCTTAGAAGTGCGTAAAATATTGCGAAATTAGGTGACCGACCACCTCTAATATATAAAGGCAATGTATTTAATAGATAACTAGTAGTTACACAATACAGTCCCAAAAGACAAGATCTTGAGTTTAAGATATACACGGGACAGTGTTTTTTTTTTTTTTTTTTTTTTTTTTGTGTGGGTTGAAATGGATAGTGCTTTCTTTAACACCTGATCCATGAGGACCATGACCAATTCAATAATATTTTATTAACTTTCCCTTTCAAAATGTAAACCGCCGTTTACATTTGTTTGTAGATTTCTAAGTTCCACAAGGCTAAGAGATAAGTCACCTTTATGATCACCACGCACTAGTAATTAGTAATTGTTCCTAAATTTTTATTTGCCCCGTATTGACTATTTGTCACTATTTTTTAAAGTTCCATTTCTATTTTTCATTTCCACAATTCAAGAAATCGTCCCTTTGCTAAGCGTAAGTACGTTTTCTTCACCTTTTTTTTCCCCCTCCCGTTAGATAGAACATAACTATCACTCTATTAATTAAAGGGCTACAATCAGAATTGTCCAAATACACATACTAATTACTGGTTCATAATTCTGAATTACAAAACATGTATCTTTATTTTACACATGTCAATCTAAAACGCAACAACAATCTACGCAACATATTTCCATTCTCACAAAAGAAAAAGACTAAGAAATAACTTTTCAAGCTAGCGAAAATTACCTCGCACCGCTCCATTTTACCGTCTGTCATGCATGTTTTTTTTTTACCTTATTTGAATCGAAAGAAAATTTGGTGATCTTAGATACAAAAGCGCCTATAATATGTTAACCAAGGCACATAACGCGATATTTTCCACCTTGCTTGAAGGTTTATGCCATGGAAAAAAATTTTGGAAACCCATTTTCCTTCAAGAATAATAAGCAAAATAGTCTATTGTTTATATGCATCACATAAAGAAATCTCACACTTCATGATGGAGATAATTTCACTAAATATAAACTAGATAGTGTTACTCAATTGCTCTAACTGATCCATGTCCAAATTCACTAATGTTATAAGCATAATTTATACGACTTAAAATCTTGCTTATAATGATGTGTGAGATTTGCTTAAGTACCAAACTTTATGACCAGTGCTAGTGACACAACAACTTATTAGTCGCCAAGATTGACTAATTTCTTTTCTTTTTTTTTTTTTTTGAAAGGGAAGATTGATTAATTTCACGTTTCCACAACTATACATTATAAATCCTTCTGTAAGTTTCGTCCACGGTAGAAAAAATTTACACCTTTTAGCCCCAACAGATAAAGTGTTTCTTGACCATTTTTTCTAGTAGAGTGTACTAGTCTATGAAAGCAAAAAATTCCAAAGTGCACCTTAGATACATCTTATTTATTTTTCCAACTACAGGGATACGTTAGTAAATTTCTAAGGGCCTCATGGTCCTATAAATTTAGAGGATTTTTTCACCACCTAGGCATCTACCATACAAACACAAAAGGAAAAAAAAAAAAATATATATATATATATATATATATGTGGAAAATGCTTAAGGGTATATATGTCTCAAAACACATGAACTTCTTGATATCGATTGGTGGTATGCCTTTTCGGTTTTCTATTGTTGAAACTGGGTGCATATTTAATCCCTTAATTTGCTCTTTGTGTTTATTAGAACTTATTGGTATAACCGATCCCTGGTCGAGATTAAGTTCCTTGTATTACGAGGTTATTTGCGTCAGTATTAGTGTGTGTATTTCCTCGATTTGGAATATATACAACTTCCCTTTTAAAAAAGCGCACACACATCAACGTCTTATATTCAAACATCTGCTTCATAATATAAGACTCTTAATTTATTTTCATGTTGGTTTTACATGTGTGTATATATATATATATATATGTTATAGGTGACAAACGCGAGAACTGGGGCTCAAGCAAAAGTGAATGAAGGAGTTTTCAAACAAATAGACACTGGCGGAACAGGCTATGCACAAGACCACCTTTCGGTAAACTACATGTTCGTGAACTGCGAAGACTGAAATACAAATCAAGATCTTCTCTTCATCTTCTAGGAAAATTTCCTACTTGTTTTAAAAAGGTTAATAACCTCGAATGGAGATTCATGGTAATGCGTTCAGGCTGAAAAAAAAAGAAAAAAAAAAAAATGAGGAAGGGAAAATTTAGCTCGTTTTTAAGGTGGTGTTTATTAATTTTATCAGAAAAACAACCCAAACACCATCTAACATATCGAAATATATCAACGCGAACACTACGATCTAACCTGCATAATTTATTTAATTAAACTACTATGTTCAATTTATAATTGACAAAATTACTTTTCATTTGTCATGATTACCACACGTTTGATATGATTATGACAATTTTAAAACTTATATTAATCAATTTATCTTTTTCTTCGAGGAAAAAATGAAACTTAATCAGTAAAGTAAAAATTTATGTTGTTTTCTATTTAATAAATCATATAAAATTTTATATTGGATTATATTACATATAATTAGATTTGTAAAATGATAAATAGCTAATCTTGTAATCAATTTAGGTTACTTCATATTTAACAGATCAACCCATACAAAATATGTTTATTAATTGTGTTAATCGTGTCAAGCCAATACCCAAACCTAATCATGTTGTCGTTGAACTAAATTATTATCGCCTTCTCTAGTATACGATGGTGTAGTTGTTAATAATTTGTATCTCAATGATTTACTGCCTTTTACATAACTCTGTCGTTTTACCCAATTTATCCCGTTTAATTTTATCTTTAGCTGTTTGATTATCGTATGTTTTGGAATTACGTCAATTTAATATTATACAGCAGTCATTTGAAATTATCCCTTTTGTATGATGTTGTTTCATTAGTATTAAGTTGTTTTGGTCTGATTCTCTCTCTCTCTCTCTCTCTCTCTCTCTGTTTTTTTGTTTTTTGTTTTTAAGGATTATGTCGTTTTCAAATTATGTTTTCATTTGCTGTTGTCAGTTTCTTAATATGATATCAGTTTTCAGAACGTGTTCGTGCAGCTATTTTAGAATTCTATCGTTTTCCTATATTATTAACGTCGTTTTCAAAATGGGCTTGGTTTTTATGTCGTTTAACGATGCAATTGTTGTCTTTCAGATAGTTTCGTTTTTAGGATGCTCACCATTTTACTATCCCATCGTTTTACTAATTCTTGTTGTTCTGATAGTGTTGTTTTATAGATACCGTCGTTTTCAGATTGTTCTTTGGTTGAAAATGATATTGTTTTCGTCCATATATGCGCACTGTCGTTTCCATTTTGTGTCGTATCTATGTTTACTGTCGTTTTCTAGTGTCTGTTCTTTTTCGGTTTAGTAGTTGTTCATCATGTTTTGTTTTGTTGTCATTTTTCATTTTTATTCTCGGTCCCAAAGATTTGATCCATTTGTTGTCTTTTTGTTTTTATTATTTTTTCCATATATAGTAACATTATTTTTTACTTTTGCGTATTATTTTTTTCATGTTTAATATTCTCATTGTCGTTTTCAGGTTTATTGTCGTTTTGATGGTGGTGGTTGTTTTTCAGTAGTGTCGTTTTCAGTGTTATTTTCTTTTCTCTTAGTTTACCGATCCATCCCAAAAGCTTAAAAGCTTTAGGAAGTGAGCCAATAATAATTATATACTTTAACACTCCCCGTCACGTGTGGACTGGACAATGAATAATCATATGGGTAAATTAATTAGAAAGCCCAACACGTGAATATTTAAACCCAAAATATATTAAAGACTTAACACATGATGACAATTTAAATGGAGATAAAAAGTACAATTATGGGGGTTTGAACTCAAAACCTCTCACTTTGATCCATGTTATTTACTAATTCATCTTAAAAATTTAAGCTGTAGTTGTATACTTTAACACTTTCGTTTTCAGTCATTATTGTTTCATTCGAGATTCGTATAATTTTATCGTTTTACATAATCGCTTAGTTTAACATTTTCTAATCTCATTGTCGTTTTTCAGGGTTGTCGTTTTTCTTCCCCTCTCATTGTCGTTTTCCTTTTTTATTGCCTCGCCTCCCCCTGGAAAAAGTCGCATTGAAAAATCTTTTGTCAACAGGTAGATCATCCGTTGCATAGGGGCTTGTTAATCTTATTGGGTGGGAAGGAAAGAGCGGGAAACGAATAAAAGAGACCGTTTTCTTTAAAAATAACCACGCAAGAAAAAGGTCACAACAAAAATACAAGGGGGACGATTTTTGTTTTTGTTTTTTAAGTCAATGATCAAATAGAAGCATAGGAGATATTCACATACACATCACACAGATAGATAAAATATAAAACGTGATACGACTTACACTGTGATATTATACATAATTAACGAACGTGTAATAGCGTGTAAATATTTGAAAAAAAAAAAATTCTTCTGATTATTTAATGTTGAACAAATTTCATCTAAACACAATTATGATATGTTGTAATTTTTTTCTTTCCGAGTTGAATGTTCTATAAACTTTGAAATTTAAAAGTTACCTATTAATTTTCTTTATACTAGAACCGGGATAAGTCAAAATTTTTACCGGCCAGCAACAAGGACATTAATGGGTTGCTTAGTTGGTGGATTCGTACCCTAATTCGAATCATGGTTCGTAATTCACTATAGTATTTTCTCTCATAAAAAATACACGTAAATCGAAAATAATTCTGAATTTATAAACCAAACGTTCACTAAAAGATCACCTAGAAGCTAGATTGCAACCTACAACATTAATTAGCTTCACTTTTTCAATTCCAAATAATTATAACCCTTTTGAAGATTGAAAGGCAACTATTAAGAGACACAATCAAGCGATAAGGTTAGGTATTGGTTGTTGTAATATTATTCGGAGATCTGCTGCACAAATTGGTTCAAAATCAAATAATTAGAACTTGGATTTCTATTAATCGTAAGTTTTCTAGTCCCATTTGTCAACAAATTAACTTCATTTGTTGTTGGGCTTTTATCATATAGCTTGAGTTAAAATTGACTAAAAGAAGCAAACAGCTGCAGCCTACCGGTTGCAGCCAGCTTGTTACATGCCTAATCTACTATAAATACCTTCTGATGAAAGATGCTGTGGCCTGATTAATTTATATATAATCAAAGATGGGGTTTTAGCACAAATGATCTTTTTTGAAGGTTTTTTTTTTCATAAATAGTCGGAATTTTATAAAATTACAAAAAAGTCATTTTTTATTAACTTATTAGTCAAATTAGCAGTCTATCACTAATTGATTTTTACTTATAACTGATTAATAACTGATTAACTTGAACATTCTTCATTGTTAATTAATATCAGTTAATAATTAACCAAATTCAATTAATAATTACTCAATTTTAATCAATAAATTATAGGTTTATAAATGAAAAACCATTAATAATTTATGGGTAATCCTAATTGTCTAAGGGTGACCCACTGATTGACTCCTTAAAAAGGGAGTTATTTTAGAAATTTGGCCATTTACGAAAAAATATGGTAAAAACAAGACCATTTAATTAATTTTTCCTAAGAGATGCTATGGCTCATAATAAATACAACTTATATAGGCATACCTATATATGTACATATATCATGAATCATGAATATAACGTGATTATAAGTATAGTCTAGCGATAATTGCACACTTAATTATTTTAAGGTGTACAGATGTAATCTTTTATTTCTAAGTTTTAAAAAAAAAAATTCATGAATATCTCGGGCATCAAGTCATCAACAAAAAGAAAATTGAGATGATTTCCTTCGGAAAAAAAAGGGGTATAAAAATGAAAATTGTAGAGGATTATTTAAAAGAAAAAAATTAATCTGTAGAGAAATTAAGGATCACGTGGCTTTGCTCGGGGCTGGATAATGGAATAATTACATCCTATATAAAAGCGTTGAAATATTGTCATCTTGTATTGGCCATTACTTTTTTTGTTTTGTTTTGTTTTTTTGTTCTTTTTTGTTCCTGAAATCGGCCATTTATACTTTGTTAATTGAACTTAAAGTCGTTTTGATGAGCATTTGTGTAATAGGGGGATTGGACCAAACCCATAACAGCAATTAAGACCAAAATAATAATAATATATATAATCATAATAGACACACACACACAAAGATCAACGCACATCCTGTATACATATACCACATATGTACGAAAACATATATATGTCTGGTCATCCATTAGAATTTACATATATAGTTTTTATATTATCATATAGAAAAATCCTTTTTTCAATTAGTAGTTATTCTCTTGGTAGCCATGTTTTTAAACATTAAATTTAACGTTTAAATAAAACTGATATGATATGATATAAATATGATAGTTCAAAATAGATCAACCCTACTACTAAAATGCTTTTTCATACATTACCCTACAATTTATAAAATGCATTTTATTTAAAGTATAAGGTTCTCTAGTTCAACTGTTTTAGTTTTAATAATATTGATTTAATAAGGTTGTGCTGGGGCATGAATTTTTCTTTTTTCTTTGAGACTTTGATAAAGAAAAATAGAAAGGAAAAACATAGTGTTGAACGGAAAACAAGTCGAATAATGGTTAGATTTTTTTTCTCCATTTATTTCTTTTGTCTAGTTTCAAATTTCAATATCCAATAAACTATAGTTATAATCTCTAGATATTTCATGTTTTTTCAGAGAGATATTTATTACATACAAATAAGTATATCTACATTCTATACCACCTCTTTTTTTTTTTTTTTTGCCATTGAAAAATAAAAGTACGAGAGGAGAAAATTATACTTAGACATAACACCAGGACATTACTCATGACATCTCTCCCATCAAATAATATTATACCATTTCAATTAAAATATCATGTCACTCAAAATATTTTAATTGGTGTAACATAGTATTATTGGAGGATATGAAAATGGAGATAAATGAGCCGAACGTCAAAATATTGATTATTAAATGGTAATTGATCAAACTGTATAATAGTTAAGGTTTTCAAAGTCAAAGGCCTCTAGATGACGTATTGATGAAACCATTAAATATGGGTCAAGAAATCAACAAGGACTTTTAAAGCAAGAAAACGCATAATCTTTCAGTGTTTGTTTCTAATATACTCAGAAAAATCTATAATAAATAAAAAAAAAAAACAACAGGCAATCCTTATGCAGAGCCACACGCGGAAAAAAGACAATCATCCTTTTTTTTTCTTCATAGAAAACGCATAATTATTTTGTTGACCAATAGAAAGTTGAGTTAATTTGTATCGAACTGGCCTCTATTCTCATGTCAGTTATAATGTGTGTTTGAAAAATAATTCCCGGAAAAAGAATCCATTTAAGACGTTAATTTTTCTAAATGTTATCACCAAACTAATGTTCATGAAACCGCATCCACATAAATTCACCACCAAAACGTCAATTTTCTTCTTTTTCTCGGGCAATAACAATTTCCAGAAAATTCCTATGCGAAAATTTTATTAAGCAAGTTGACTTTGAAAGAGAGAGAAAAAAAATAAAAATCAAAATGTCACGTCACTTTCTATTCTAGCCACCTTAGCTAGCTAGTTTTTCCAACTTTTGAATTGGAAGCATTAATGCACTCTTCTTTACAAACCCACTTAAAACGCATTACCTATATAAATGCATAACTCGTGTGAAGTGAAGTGCATTTATATATTGTAGTTCCAGCAATATATATATATAGTCTTGCATATATATATATATATCACCTTTCTTTCTCTTAAAACTTATTTCCATCTATAATTTAGCCTTAGCCAAGACTAAAAAGTTTCTAATTCTAGGGAAGTAAATAAATCTAGAACATCTATAGCCGCCTAACTTGACGTATTTAAGCCCCACCCTCATGACCAATTAGCCGCCCCACACATTATCACACAATTGATCACTTCCACCTTGGCTCCCTACCATTTGATCAGTTGGCTTCTCACATCACAAATTAACACCCGAGTACAATCCAACGGTCTGTAAATCAAATTAATTTAAGGTCTTTTTTTTTTTGTTTTTTAATAAAGTGTAGACTAGGTCTCAAATATTATTGCAACCATCATTCACATAACTGAACTATAAAAGGGAAGCCAGTCTTTGTTTGATGCTTCAAGCCATCTATGCCATACAAGTCATTCCACGTTCAGAAAATCAAAATGGCTAGACTATTCTATTGCATGTTGGTACTGTTTTTGTGGTTAGTTGTTGGTGCATTGGCCGAACAATGTGGTAGGCAAGCCGGTGGCAAAACTTGCCCTAACAACCTGTGTTGCAGCCAATACGGGTGGTGTGGCAACACCGACGAGTACTGTTCGTCCTCTAAGGGGTGCCAGAGCAATTGTCAAGGCGGCGGCGGAGGTGGTGGTGGCGGAGGCGGGGATGGGGCCAGCGCCACCAATGTTCGGGCTACGTATCACTACTATAACCCGGAGCAAAATGGATGGAACTTGAATGCTGTTAGTGCTTATTGCTCTACTTGGGATGCTGGCAAGTCATATGCATGGCGTAGTAAATATGGATGGACAGCTTTCTGTGGCCCTTCCGGACCTCGCGGCCAAGCCTCTTGTGGCAGATGCTTGAAGGTAAGGAATCAAACAGGTTTCTTCAACCAATTTTTTGTCAATGCATGTTGACAATGTTGGTCTAACATTACTATAGTTTATTTGTGTGTGTGATTTTTTTTTTTTCCAATTAGTTGTTACAATTTGAAGGAATTCTACAATGATCATATACCTTCTTGTTATAAAAGGTTTGATAGCGTATACTTCTTTCTATTACTATCAACATACAACACGTCCCGTAAAAGTAGTTCAACATGTATGGATGTGCGTGGTGAGACCCACTCTATTAATTGTAGTGCTTAATAAGTGTAGTGTCTCTAAGTATTTCTTTTCCTTCTATTTTTAACACCATTATGTAATTATAAAATAACCCGTTGTCAAAGACATTATCGTCGCCATATATATAACAATTATCTTGTAGTGGCATACTAGAGAGATTTTGTTATTCAAACACATATATAATGAACAATAATTGACAATTGGTACGTGTATGTTTGCAAACAGGTTACTAATACGAGGACAGGAGCCCAGCTTACAGTTAGGATTGTAGATCAGTGCAGCAATGGTGGCTTAGATTTGGACTACAATACTGCTTTCCGAAAATTGGACACCGATGGAAGAGGTTATCAACAAGGCCATCTCATAGTGAACTACCAATTTGTTGACTGTGGCGATTAATCCTCTTCTTCCTGTTGTTGGATCATTAATAATAAATTCTCTTACGGAATGCAAAAACACGCACTACATTACTTGTTAGTAAGCAGCTGATGGTCAAATATCTCTGCAGTATAGTAAGTTGTAATAAACTCTCGGATATATCTCCGATAAGTGTGTTCGCATCTTTAATGTTCTTGTCAAAGAACTATGAGTTTGTTTTTAGCTATACTACAAATAAAACATGAGTATGGAGATGTATTAAAGTAAAATTCTGAAAATTTTCTGAAGTGGAAGTTTATATTGCATGATCATGATGGTGTTTTTGCATTATCTTTCTCTCAAACCTCTTTCACTGTTCACTGCACGTCAGATTTTAGTGAATTGGGTAATAGTTACATCGAACAAAACAGTCTCTGATATCGGATGAATTATTCAGTATTTCAGGTATACCGCGTTATCATACTTATTCCAATAAAAATTTAACATTTAGTTGGTTTGCCCATATTAATTATTTGTAATCACATTCTTCTCTCCTAATGTACTTTACATTAATTATCTAATCAAAATCATCGTAAATATTCTACCTAAATGTTTTATATTAATTAACCTCTCATAAAATTATTTTTAATTATTTTTAAAAAATATATATTTTCAACGTTAAGTTAACTTAGGAAATAAACAACTTCACTATATACGCTGAACGACAACTTTCTAATATTCTTTCTTTCTTTTTTTTTTTTTTTTTTTTTCCTTATATATTTTGGCGTATCTTCTTTCAACCCATGAACGGTCCTTCACTCTTGGGAAAAAAGAGATACGTTGAACAAATTTCTCACCATTAATAAGAGAAGCATTTGAAACTGGTACACTCCAAACCATTATCAGTAACAGCTTCCTTCTTTTGTTGTTGATGACCATTGATTGCTCCATTTTTTTTTTTTTTTTTTTTTTTTTGAAAATGGATTTTGGTTAAATACTCTTCTTGCGTACTGCACTATTGTTGCATTTCTATAATAGGAAAAAATATTACTTTGTTAATACACGACAACGGAAGGTAAAAGCCTTAACTTTTTTTCAATTCTAAGAAAAGTTAAAAATTAGAGTTGCTATTAAAGCGTTAACTTTGGACTCTATTAAAAATAGTATTAGTTTTATAATTTTACGAATATAATATAATATTTGAAGTTAACAATGTAAGACATTTTGTCGAGTATTTATATTCATTTATGTAACTCAAACATGAAAAATTAGGTTGCTGAAATATATATATGATCTCTTGTTGTCTTTCACTTAATACTATTTAGTGGCTAAATCGTAATGATTACATATTGAATAGGTGCTGATCATTTGGAAAAACTATGCTTGCGTTCAATATATAGATAGAAAAAAGAAACAAGTGTCGTTTAAAATTATCATATAAAAAAATCATATAAATTTAAATGCAAAAAAAAAAATAATAAATAGAAAGAAAATTATTTAGAGTTAACTAAACAATATAAAAAGTTTAGGTAGAGTAATTATAGTAATTTTGACTCAACAATTAATGACATACACATTAAGAAAGAGAAACATAATTTAAAAAAAAAAAAAAAAGTGGCATAGACAAACTATTCATATGTTAAATTTTTATTGGACGGGTGTATTATATAAGTATTATGATATGGTACACCCGATCCACTAGATAATTCTTTATGATATCAATGTATAAAAGTTGAGCATAGCCTTGATAAGATTTAAGGAGAGCGGCATAACCTCGATAATGATGGTGTGGTTCTACACCGATACGTGACTCCAATCTAACTAATATTTAACCTTTTTAATTGTTAATAAGTGTATGAATATTAGGTGGGATGACCAATTAAAAGATGTTGGAGCTTTTTTTTTCTCATTTTTAGGCAAATAGAATTAGATCCGGCCAATGAGTGAATGATTATCACTTCAATTTGATTGACTGATAAATTATTACTAATAAATTTTTTTTTTTCAAAAATAATGAATTAACTAATAATCAAATAATGAATTTGATCACCAAATCATCATAAAAAATGGAGAAATGTCCAAAAGCAAAAGGATCCTTTGAAAAGGATAACAGGAAAATGAATCAAGTCTTTGATTAAAGCTTATACTTATCTATTCAGGATTAAAATTACACTCCTAATCTAATAATTAAACGCACGAATAAGAAAAAAAGGGAAATGCTCCTTGTACTCTCTTTCTATTGATGTTAACATATAAAGGCAATATATGTCATAGATATATAGGAGTAACCTTAAATAGTCTCATAATAATATGTTAACCGAGACACGTACACAGTGTACTTTCGGCTTGCTTAAGGTTGATGAATATATATATATATATATATTTGTCTATTATTTGGTCTAGGAATTACATAAATAAACTTCAGATATATGTACACATATATATATATATATATATGATAAACTAGACAAAGCCACTCAAATGCTCTCACTTATCAATATCCAGTTCATGAATGTTATAAACATAGGTCCTTGTATGAATCGAATCGTGCTTACAATAATAATGTGTGAGATTGCATAAGTGCCAAACTTTAAGACCAACAATTGCCGGTGACACCGCAACTAATTGTTTTATGTAAATTATATAAACTTTTTATTATACAACATTATTAGTATATATATTCTCACAACATAATTAATCATCCAATTCGGATCACTTTGTATCAGGTAAATCAATTCGAAATATGATATGTTTATTTATTGTGTTGATCAGTACCAACCCTATTATGAATTAAATCCTTTTATATTATAAAACTACTGTTAGCCCACCTCCTAACAGCTTAAGCTTTTAGGATGGATTGGTAAATTAACATGGTATCAGAGTGGGAGGTCCTGAGTTTAAACTCCCGTAATTGCACTCTTTATCCCCATTTAAAATTGTCATCATGTGTCTCGGGCTTAAATATTCACGTGTTGGGCTTTCTAATTAATTTACCCACACGATTGCTCATTGTTCAGCCCACACGTGAGGAGGGGTGTTAAAGTATAAAACAATTAATTTACCCACACGATTGCCTATTGTTCAGCCCACACGTGAGGAGGGGTGTTAAAGTATAAAATTATTATTGGTCCACCTCCTAATAGCTTAAGCTTTTGGGATGGATTTGTAAACTAACATATATAAAACACAAACTCTAAAATTACTTTGTATGGTTTCCAATCTATAGTCGTGTCATGACCTAAATTTTCAATAGAAATCCTCATGGCTGCTCATTTATTTACGGTAGTTTTTTTTCCTTTCGTTGTCGTTGGTCTTTATTATCATTGTCTCATTCCTTCCTTCTCCCTTTCGTCCTCATACTATTGTCATCTGCTGTCGTTTTATTCTATTTACAGTCGTTTCTTGTGATTGTGGTTTTCAACTTTTATGTTCTTTTATACATGGCCGCCGTTTGCTTTTCTCAATCGGGTTTGGTCTTTATTGTCCTTTTCCTCCGCCGTTTGCTTTACGTAGGGGTGGCAATTCGGGTTGACGGGTCGTGTTCGTGTCGTATTGACCCTTTCAGTTGACACGAATAGGTTTGACACGAACACGACCCGTTTATTAATCGTGTCGAAATACAAAACTCAAACACGACCTGTTTATTAGTGGGTTGACACGGCACGACACGAATAACCCGTTTATTAAACATGTCATAAACGTGTCGTGTCAACCCATTGATTACCTGTCAACCCGTTTATAAAATGGGTGATAAATTGGTCATGTTAACCTATTTATGAACCTATTTTTGAACATGTTTATAAAATAGGTGATAAATGGGTCGTGTTAACCTATTTCTTAACTTATTTTTTAACATGTTTATAAAATGGGTAATAAACAGGTTGTGTATTCGTGTTACCCAAATATGACACGTTTAATAAAAGGGTTATGGCGGGTCAATTGCGGGTTGACGGGTCAACCTGAAAATGACACGTTATTTAATCTTGTTTCACGGGTTCGACCTGATTTTGACCCGTACCTATTTATGATAAACCCAAACCCGCTAATTTCATGCGGGTTTCAAGTCGTGTCACTACCCGGATTGTCAGCCCTAGCTTTACGCACATTTCCGTCAGTTTCACATCATTCTAATTAGTAAATAATACTTTCATTATATATTAGTCGTCTATTTGTTTTATTAATGTATATTTTTCATTATTTTTGTGAAGCTGTTTTTAGTTTGTTTGGATAATCTCTAATATAAATATTAATATTAATTATATATTTATTATTAAAAAGTGTGATATGATATATTATTTTTTATTTTTACTTTAATATATAATATTATTTAAAATGTTAAATCTACTTTTTTCATAATTATTAAGTTTTAAAAGTTATAAAAGTACATTTTTATGTTTAAAATAAAAGAATTTTTCTTGTAAGAGACAGCCCCTTAAAATAATAAGAAAATATAAAAATTGTAATGATTACATGAAAAAATAATCATTTTAAGCAATAATATTTAAATATTAAATTTTTCATATGTTATATTTAATGAAAAATTTGTCACAAAATATAACATATAAAATATTTAACACAAAAAGTAATATTATATTAAAATATATTTTTTATATTTTAATATTAAATTTATAATTAACACATTAATTATAATATTGCATATGAGATACTATGTCTTTCGAAGTTAAACGGACGGAACCGGTTACCCTTCCAAGACTATCATCGAAACTTTTTACTATAGAGCAGTACTCCGTCTATTAAGTTAAACGGCGGCGATTAATTTCCCAAGACACTAACATTGAAGGAAATCGCAGGGCGATTGCTTTCTCCGAGAAGGGAACGTTGAAGAAACTTTCATTTGTTTCTTGTTTGCTTGCTAAGGCCTAAGGCCACGAAGGTCCAACAATCAACAGGAATTTGCAATTATTTTTCCACTTTCAACTTTTTTTCTTCTTCTTCTTTCCTTTATGCCGATATTATCATCTGGATCTATCTTATTTTTTATTTTCCGTTTTACTAATTTCTGCTCTCTGCTGTATTTATAAATTTATGATCTGTATTTTTCAGGCATTTATGTATTTAAGATTTTTTCCCCAGAAATGAGATATGAATTATTGTTGGTTTCTTTTTGCATGCCCACGTTTTATTTTATTTTTTTAAGAGAAAATTATGTATACAACCATCTTTTTTTGCTATCTCTACATTTATACCACTCAAAATATAAGTTTGTTCTACTTAAGACGGTTTTCTAATAATTTAACAAAATACATGTTTTTACTATGCGGCTTCAACGACATAAATGCTAGATATAGTACTATTTTGAATGGTGTTTTTGATTTCTCTCCTTTTTTCAAACCACTTTGTGTTGTTTTGTTTACACCACCTCATGTTAGGGAGGACTTAATTATGACCTAAATATTCTGGCGTTTGTATTTATTGATTGATTTCCTGGATCTTATGAATCACTACTTGGTAATCATGACGCGCGGGTCGGACCATAAAAGGAGAAATATGGATGAACCTGAAATATTAAGACCCTCGATCTCATTGCCTGGGAAGAGGGAGGAGACATCACCACCTTCATCTCAGAAACCGCCAACGCAAATTCCTGCAGATGATGCTATTGCCAAGGACAATCAATATTGAAAATATATTAAGTTCTCGTTCATTTTACGAATTCGAGTTTTTAATTCAAGTTGATATTTAATATTTTTTAAAAGTTTTTAACTGTGTCAGAAAAAATTATATGTCATATTTTTGAAAGTTTTTAACTGTAGAAATCTAAAATTGAAAACTCAAATCGATAAAATGAATTAGACCTAAACATGCGATTTCTATTGTGGTTGCAAGTACTGTTTCTACAATGGGAGAAAATGCTTTAACTAGTTGCCCTGTGGTCTCACATAACTTAGGAGTTACTAAAATCCCTGGCTTCTAAGTAATCTTCTAATCATTTCTCCCATTCCGATGAAACTAAAGTTGAACTGATCATTTCTGCTATAAACTCACTGCGTTTAATATTTCTGAAGGCGAAGGCGGCTAATTATGAAAAATTTGGTTTGTTTGTCCTTGAGCTCAATTTATGTTCTCTTTCAGTAAGCTATTTCCTCTCCCTTTTTCTTCATGTTTTATTTATTTATTAATTTTTTTTGAAAAAAGTATCTCCTACCTTTTCCCTGACTATAAGCTTCAATGATATTAGCAAATATGTACACTGGGTTTTTGCTTCGCCATGCGGAACTAAGTGCTTATTTCCTGAAAAATATCGAGTTTATCAAGTTGTCTGTTAAGGCAATTTGATCAAATATCGCCAACTTATACAACCCGTTGTCCATCTTTACCTAATCCTTATTCGCATCATCACGCTTTCTTTGAGAGTGGAAGTATTATGAAGGAGCAGAATAGTAGCCGATAATCGATATTTATATCAATTTCATTCTCTTCAAAATGGTTTTTTTTAACTAAAATATTTGCATTGCTTAATAAAAATATATTGAAAAAAAGTTTATATAGACTTGCCAGCAAGTATAAGAGTACTATTAATGATAAAATAAGAAATATTAAACTTATCAAATTTAACATCCCCTCAAAATCCATATCTGTAAGTAATTACCAACGTAATCAAGCTATCTCTCTAGTTGGAGACATGGCATGGTAGTCTGCTTTTGTGGAAGATCTAGAAACAATGTCGTGCTTCTTTCAGTCGTTTTATGCACTTTTCTTTTCCGTTGTTTACGTGCCTCTCTGAATATTGGATTCAGTATTCATCGTTTATTTCTTTTTGATGTCGTTTTGCCTATGTTACATTGGCTGCCTTACTGTCGGTGTTCGGTTACTTATCGTTTTATTTTTTAACTTAGTTGTCGTTTTCTGTACTTCGCTGTTAGACGGTTGTGGTCTTCAAAGCTGAAACGGCGCCGTTTATTTTATTCTTGACCTAGACCCGACCGGACGAATGATTAACCATTCTCAGTACAGGTACAAAATATCTACTTTGTGTCTTCCTTGGTTGTGAAGTAATAGAACAGCTTTTCTTCCCCCAATGAAAATGAGAGGCTTTTCAGCGAAACGAGAGAGAAGTGAGTAACAAAGAGATGGCGGAGAAGGTGATCAACGTAAGGAGAGAGACCCTAGAGGCATGCATGACGTGCCCTCTTTGCAATGAGCTCTTTCACGAAGCTACAGCCTTAGCTCCCTGTCTTCACACATGTTGGTCTTTCTTTTTCAACCCCATGATTTTCTTTTTTCTCAACTTACTTTTTTTTTTCCCCACTTTGTGATCTGGGTCTATTCCATTTTGCATTTTACTTTTTTGTTCTTATGAGTTTATCATCTGGTTTTTCCAACTTTTTTTGCAATTTAAGTTTTTTATTTATTATTTCGAGTGGTGGATTTTGTTGTTATTTATTTGGACTGGATGCCCCCCCGTTAGTTAATTTGAAAACATTTGTGTGTTTTCGTTTCTGCGACATTGATTTTAGTAAAGGACTTGTGTTTCTAAGCTCATTTCCGCGTATTTTTTTTTTAAATGAATAATTGCTGCTTGAGTTATCAGTACATTTTCCTGTGCTAGTTCTCAGTACATTCTGCCTTGTTTTGTTAGCAATTTTCTTTTTTTTTTTCCTTTTTTAATTACTGCTTGTTATATTTTTCATCTTTAAATCTGTTTGCTTAGCAAGATCTTGACCTTAGTAATTTGGTGATTATAATCAAGACTTTCTTCTGGCAGGGAGTAAGATTCTGATTTTGTGGTGATTTAAATTCCAACACTCAAAAGTCTTCATTTTCTATGTGGTTCCTCCCGCTAAAAGAAAGAACTCTTTCAGTGTGGCTTTGAAAAAATACTTTACAAATCCAACCACAAGCGTATTTTCTTCCCTCAAGAGTAAATGACTGCTTAGCTATGTCTAAAACTAGCCTAAATTGGTCTAATGCAGAGTTTCATTTCAAATAGTTTCTATAAGTATTCTCGGAGAATCGGCTCTAGCTAATCAATTTGTGCTCTTTCCTTTTGTCTGTCTTGGCATTGTTGTGTTTGCTTTCCTCTGTTGACGCTTTCTAGAAAAGTTCTGGCTTTTCGGAACATAGAAGTTATTAGAAATTACAATCATGGGTATCAAAACCAGTTTGCAGAAAGTGTATATATGAGAAGTTATCAGATGAGAAGATCAAGTATTGTCCTGTATGCCATACTGATTTGGGGGGGCATCCAGTGGAGAAACTCAGGTCATCATATTTTTCTCCATGTCTTCTCAATTATGTAGACCTCACGTATAAATGGAATTATTTATGTTACAGATCCCCTAGATAGGGATTTGTTGTAATCTCGAAACTTGCTGAGATAATACATGTGAATTGCTGTACAAATCATACATTAGAGTTCTCTGCCCTAACGTTTATTATGGCTACAGCCAATTTATCCATTTATGTTTTCAAAGATAGAGATTTCAATCCTTTTCATCATTATGGGTTCAATGATATTTGTGCGACTTTGTTACTTGCAGTTTAAGCTTTAAGGAAATTGCAGCTTGCTTTAATCTGCATCATGTTAATGTTACTTAAGGAGTTAAAAAATGTTGATACTGCAGCCAATATTCATTACTCTCTTTAACTTTCTTGTATTGGATTTATGCTGGCCACACACACTACATTTACTATGAGCAATTGTTGAGGCCTTCAGTGAATCCTCAAATACTACTCATTGATAACATGCAGGCGAGACCATAATCTGCAAGATATTTGTTCCAAGATTTTACCTCTTAAGAGGAGAAAGATTGCTGAACCAGAATTTACACCCTCGATCTCATTACCTGTGGATGGGGAAGAGGAATCGCCATCTTCATCTCCGAAAGTGCAAACACAAATTCCTCCAGATGATGCGAAGAATGTCAGCTGGTTAATTGTGTATATGAGATCGTTTATTCCTCAAACTGTGGTATCTATTTCTCGAGCAGCAGGAGAAGCTTTTGCTAGCTCTCCGGTGTTCTCCCATAATTTAGGAGTGCTCGAAGCCCTGGCTTCGAAACCATTTCCCGATCAGTGCTCCAATGTCGAAGAAACTATAGATGAACTGATCTTTCCTGCTTTGCATTCACTGAGCTCAATTCGAGATGCAGAAGCGGCTAAGGAAGAAGTTGATTTGTTACATATTCTGAACTTCAATTTGGAATTTCTTTCAGTAAGCTCATTCCTTCTTCCTCTTTCCTTTTGAGAACATATCTCCTTGCTTTTCCCTGACTAAAAGTTTCAATGATATTAGATGGTATACTATCAGTCTCTCATCTTCTGTCGGGCCCGTAAGCAAGAGCAACTCCTCTCACAAGCTCTGAAGCAACTTGAAGAGAAAGATATCTTGGTGACCAGCCTGCACGAGAAGGAGGAGCTGAGAGGTATCGTGGAGCAAGCGCAGATCAAACAAGCACAAGCTGAATCTGCCTTAGAAGAGACGCAGATCTTGAAAGAAAAGGCGATTGCAGATGCCGTTGAAGAGGCCCGTAAAGAGACCCGGGAGAATCTGACAAAGGAATTTCAGAATACATTGAAGATGAAGCAAGCAGAAGCTGAACATGCCTTAAAGGAGATGCAGACCATGAAGGAAAAGGCTTCGAAGAAGTTCGGTAAGAGATCAGGGAGAACATGACAAAGCAATTTCAGGATATTTTTTTTAGCAGAGTGTGAGGGAGGTTCTCATGAGATTCTCTTTTTTGTTGTTCATCTGTTTGTGGCTATAAAGGCTTTGTATTTATTTTTAGTTCCTTTTATCAGTTTCCTAGCTTCCTTAATGTAATGCTTAGATTATCACTAGAAAAAGGTTATGAAGCCTTACTTTTCAGTGTATTTTACCAAAGATCAGCAAGTTTTGTATCAGAAACTGAATGCTGAAATCATTTTCATTCTCTGCAAATTGGGGTTTTTTTTTTTTTTTGTATGATAAGTAAATACATATAATAATTGTATTAATAGGTGACTCCAGTCTAACTCAACGTATCAATTAATTGTTAAGAAGTCCTTAAGTAAGGGATTCTCAAACTAGCCTTAATTTAATATGCACTCAGATTTCCCTTAGAATGGCCTAACACGTCTAATATTACAAATCAAAGACTCAACAGAAAAACATGCAAATTTTCTACGCATCTGTAGAGTGACCTAAGCCTTTCAAGTTCCAAGCCTCCAAAGTAACTATACTAGAAGGTTTGAGAAAAGAAACAAAAAAAAAATCAAGAGAGAAGAATTTTCTGGTTTTCTGGTGGGGGCTGCTAATTTTATCTCTTACTACACTTGCGGGTCAATCAAGTTAATTTATGAGAAAAATTGAAACCCCCTTCAAAGGCAGAGACGGAAAATCTCTGCTTCTAGAGTTTTTATCGGTACGTGTTTGTGTGAAACAAGGCTTGTATAACAAATTGTTCATTCGTTACACCCATTTACACGATCCCAGATATCTTTCAGTAAACTGTACGTGTACTTTTGAGGCGAAAATTCCTACACCCACCTGATTTTGTGCCGTGATGAACGACTCTTAATTGGCTAACATTTCTTGTCCTCTCACCGACTTGCATGTATTATTATCCAAGTAGGTTTTTCTTTTTTCTTTTTTTTTTTTAAGTCAAGGTCATGATCAGTCAAGATAGAAATAAATTTGCCAACTCATTTCATACTATTCAAAGGTCATTTCAGTAATCTTAATGGTGACCTATCCCTATAAATCTAAGCCCTTTCTAGCTTTAACAAATAATCTCACAATATACCCCAATATCAACACAGTTTGCAACAACTTTAAGAGTAGTCAAAAATGGTGAAGATGATCGGCCCATGGGTGGCAGCGTTCTTGCTCTCAATGGTGGCAAGTGCATATGCCCAGAGTGCGACTAATGTGAGAGCCACATACCATCTCTACAATCCACAGCAAAACAACTGGGACTTGAATGCTGTGAGCGCCTTCTGCGCCACCTGGGACGCCAACAAGTCATACGAATGGCGCAGCAAGTATGGTTGGACCGCCTTCTGCGGACCCTCCGGCCCTACTGGCCAAGCGGCTTGTGGCAAATGCTTGAAGGTAAGTAACAAAATGAACATTTCTTTTTTTTTTTTTTTCTTCTCTACACCACATTCCTAATTTTTGAATACCTTGTTTGTAGGACTGTTCATAAACCCGAACAATCCGCAAACCCAACCCATTCCGTCCTAATTCAAGTCGAAAAAAACAACCCGCATCATTATTTTTAAATTTGCGGCTCATTATACCTCTGGCCCGAAGTGTTTGGGGCGGATTGCGGGTTGGGCCCATAACAACCCGCAATCCCCAACCTAACCCGCACAACATACACCCAAACTTTCGGCCCAAGCCGAACTGTCTAAGTTCTACCCTAGGCTCGCTAACATTAGGGTTCACAAGCTTATTCTCGGTCGTCCCTCCCGTGAACCCCCTCTTCTTGCCTCTTCCTTTTCAGTTTTCCCTCTTCTGTCCCTCCCATGAACCCCCTCATAACTCTCTCCTCATTGCTCAGTCCTCTCGGCCGCCGTCTTGCCCACTTTCTCCGGGGCTCTCTCGCCGGACTGATAAGGATGGTTGCTATTTCTATTTAATGATGAAGTTTGAATATTATCTTGAACTTTAAGTCTTTAATTTTTTGAATGTTGAAACCGACCTCCTAACCCACCCCGCACCGCCCCAACCCAACCCGAACATTGTTGGGTTGTGAAATTTTTCTAACATCGTTGGGGCTAAATATGTGCAACTCGCACCCTTTGGGGCGGAAAAAAAAAAGTCCTACCCCGCACCAACCCAACCCATGAACAGCCCTACTTGTTTGTCCTAATCTTCACAATGTCACTTTTGCTAATAACATGGCTAACTTTAATAAATTAATACATCGTCTTTGCTTAACAACACGCTAATAAAAGACGAATCTCACAACATATATTTTAAAAACAGATAACATCTTTATTAATTGTGGTGTTAAATATTATTGATATTTTAAGTATTTTTTTCTTTACATAGGACGCCCTCGGAAGAGGGTGTGCTCAGACTTACGGACATCAACAAAAAAAAATCATCTTTTCATTAATCATGGTTTTTTCATTAACTTAGGCCCCGTTCACTTTACCGATTCGAGTTTAGAATTCGAGTTTTATTACAGTAAAAAACTCTCAGAAACAGTCACATTTAACTTTTTTGTTACAGTAAAAAATTTTCACATAAAGTCACATATCAACTTGAATTAAAAACTCGAATCAGCAAACTAAACGGGTCCTACTCTTCATCATTTAGATTTAGCATACATTCCAAAATGGTAAATGGTAATTATCTTAACCACAACCTTGGTAAAAAATTTAGGGTCTGTTTAGTTCGTTAATTTGAGTTGAGATGTGACTTTATGTGTGAATTTTTAACTGTAATAAAAAAATTAAATGTGACTATTTTTAAAAACTTTTTACTATAACAAAACTCGAATCAGCTAAATAAATTAGGCCTTAAAATATTGGAAGTTTAGGTAAAAAACCAAAATCTAGTGGATGATGGGGGTATATATGAAAAATGCGTGCAGGTGACAAACACAGGAACAGGAAGTGCAGTAACGGTGAGAATAGTGGATCAGTGCAGCAACGGTGGGCTAGACTTGGACGTGAACGTGTTTAACAAGATTGACACCGATAAGAAAGGTTATGAGAGAGGCCACCTTATTGTCAACTATGATTTCGTCAACTGTGGTGACTAAAATTAATTAACCACAACTAGTGTACTGCTTTTTTTGTTCCCATCTTTTACTAAAATAAAACTTACTACATGACGAATAAGATAAATCAATGGATCTGCTTCTTGATCATCAAGAAGTGTTTGACTGTAATGTCATCGCATCTAGCGGTGCAGAATGTGTAGTATTATTACATGGGAATGAATAAACATTTCATTGTAATTTTTATATATCGTTCATTTCTTTTTTATTGGAAAATATGAGGCCCGTTTAGCGCATAAATTTAAATATAAATATAAATTTTATGAGATAATATACTGATTTAAATAGTAATTCGTACCTATAAAAGAAAGGCACGGATGGAAATGACTGCTACGAGTACAAGAATTACACGACAAGTCTTAAAGAAATCTTGAGCGTTGAAACAAACGACAACTCATTAGATGTCGCAAGCCTAATTTCAACGACAAGGTCAAGTTTTTGCCTCGAAAAGAGGGTATTAAATTTTAAAATATACGGCAGTTTGTTTAGGCAACACTGCGAATTGGAACATCCTAAAAAGTCCAAGCCAAGCTAAATATATAAGAAATCATCTATGAAAAAAAATTTGAACAACTAAATTAAAAACCATAATTCCTCTAAAAAGGAATAAAATACCACCATAATACAATTTTATATTTATTTAGATGACATTTTTTCTCACCCTTTTATTTATTTATTTCAAAGCGATTGGTACATGTGTTTGAATGATACCATCAACTTCTATTTTTCCATATTCTAGAAACCAAAGGAAAAAAATCCTTTTTACAGTCATGATTTAATAGACTCTACTCTTAAAAAACAAAATGAACACAACTACCGAACTTAAAAAATAAAAGATAAATTGTGAATGTCTCTTAAAGATTTTTTTAAGTCAACGTCCTTAATTTAATAATTAAAAATATATATATATTAACTTTCGTCAATTGTTGATTAATTTCTAATCATTATTAATTGATCTTGATAAATTAATCATTAGTTTAATATGTTTTTAAATTCTCAATCATATAAACTATTTATTTTAAAATTCTTTTGAAAACAAATATTTTTAAGTTTTACAAACTTATAAATATTAGCATAACTAAGAACATATACTTTAAAAAAAAAATTTGCACATATTTTAAAATAAAATACACAGAAACAATAGAAGCATATTTCAAGAAAATATTATGAAAATTGAACATAATTTTTACTCAATAAGTTTTTTTTTTTTAATCTTAATCTCATACTATCTAATTTCAGGATATTTTCTCGTCACCTATTACATAATTTTTTTATAAAAAAAAAAGGAAAAGAAAAGAAAAACCTAACGGCGCACTTTATCCACAATGCGTAAAATCGTAATTGTCGAACTCAAACACAAACCGGTGTTTCGAAGTTGCACGCACGAAAAGGAAAGGGCAAAAAAGAAAAAAAAAAATCATTTTCTCATGCTTAATAATGGCTGTGCCGTCGAGAGTATGCAACAACACTAAAAATTCCAATTATTTTTAAATTAAAAAAAAAACCCAATAAAAACAATAAAAATCCCAACAATACAAATTACAACACAACGCCTTTGGCTTTGGCTTTGCTTTGTCCAAATATCTAACAAACCCCACGTAATTTTCCCTCGAACAATCCAAACCCACCTCTCAGTTTCACCCCCAAAACCCGCCACTTCTCTCTCTAACCTCCCTCTCTCTCTCTCTCTTCCATTCCACTCTCAGATCCACCATCCACACGTCCAATAACGCCAAAAACCAGACGACGTCGCACCACATCCGTTTCTCTCTTCAATTTTCTTCCCACTGTTTTCCGCTCTCCCGATTTTGGTTTCTTCTGGTCTGGGCGGCTTAAATGCCGTTTAGAGAGAGAGAGAGGGATTTTTTTAGCTGAAGAGATAGAGAGAGAAACAAAGAGAGATGGCTGGTCAGGTGGTTAAAGTAAAGAGGGAGAGGCTGGAGGCATGCATGACGTGCCCTCTTTGTAATAAGCTCTTGAAAGAAGCTACGACCATTTCTCTTTGCCTCCACACGTGTTAGTTCTCTTTCTCGACTCTGTTTCTCTTTAGTTTTTTTTTTTCTTTTTTTCCTGATTTTTTTTTTTTTATCTGGGTATGTCTTATTTTGCGATATTACTACATGGGTTCTTCGTGTTTTGTGATTTTGTGATCTGGGTTTTCAGTTGTTAAGCAATTTGCATTGGACGGCTTGTTAATCAATTTCATATCCGTACGTGTAATTTTTATCTGTGGTTGCTCTAATATGGCAATTTTTAAAGACTGTCTGATTCTTGGTTTGTTTTCTGTCATCTTAGTTTTGTCCAATCCAATATTGAAACTTTGATTACCATTTGCTCGTTTTGTGTTTATTAACTTGTTGTAGTAGTAATTTCATTGATGATTGTTATCTGAATTACTTATGTTATACAGTGATATGATGATTTTGTAACCGTTTAATTTCCAAGATCAATTTTTTATGCTTGTTTTGTTGTATACCTAGATCCTCCCACAAAGAAATAACTTATGCAGTTTGGCTATGGAACTATACTTGAGAAATTCGATTAGATCTTCATTTTTCTTACAGACACCAGATTGAATATCACAAATGTCTATTTATTTTATCTTATAGGCTTACAACAGTAATGATTTCTCTGCCGCAGTAAATGGTGAATGACCTGTTATATTGACTGTCCAAGATTGAAGATTAACAGCTGTTTCGAACGATCTCCTTACTTGATATTTGCTGTGAATTTTTCTGTTTGCTTTCGAAGTTGGACAGTAATGACAACTAATTTAAGTTCTCAATGGCTTTTTTTTTTCCGTTTTATTTGCCTTATTAAACGCACCGGCTTTAAGAGATGATGTCTATCTTGTGGCAAAAGTCTCGTAATTCTTTTCAATGGATCTGGTTTGCGGACCTGCTAAGATCAAATTATTCCCTCTTTAATTGCTTGCCTAAATACTGTATTTGTTTCACTTTGTTGTTTGACTACCCTTAGGATCGGAAAGGTCTTTCCTTTTTGTTTCACTGCCCTTAGGGGGCTTTCATTCAGTGCTAAACATTAAAATTTTGAGATTCTGTTTTACTCTACTTTCAACATTTTCTAACGTGTGTAGTCATGAATTTGGAATCAGTTTGCAGAAAGTGCATTTATGAGAAGCTCTCAGATGAGGAGGTCGACTCTTGTCCTGTATGCGAGATTGATTTGGGCTGCCTTCCAGTGGAGAAACTCAGGTTGGTACTTCTTCACCAGAGGCTGTTAATATGATCATTCAATCATTTTCACTTCTGAATTGATTGTTGAATTTTCTTTTTCTTTTTTTGTTTTTCTTTTTTCTTTTTTTTTTAATTATTGACTTATTTAACTTGAGAACAAGTAAATGCTTTTTACACCTAGAAGGATAAGGGAATGATATTGAATTATTGCTTAGGCTTCAAATTTTACTTGGAAATTCCGTTCCATTCATTCTCAACTAGTATACGGTCAGATGTTCATTGGAGTTTTGGTTCACAGTTTTACTAGCAGTACATATAACAATCCTCAAAAACTATATTTTTATGTTTTCTTAGAGCATTTTATAGTTTCCTATGCTGGATGTGCATTTCTGGGAACTTCAAATTGGGAGCTTTCAGGAAATTTTTGCAAATTAAAATGCCGTTCATGACCTCTAATCTTTCCTATTTTTTAAGGAGTGCCAATTTTCAATTCATGTCTCCTCTTTACATCGATAATATGATATTATGCATTCATTTTTTAGGTTACAAATTGGGGTCCTTTCATTATTGGCTTATCTGTGAGGGAGTATAATTTGTTCTTGAATTTGTGCGCACTTCTTGTTCTGTTTCCAATCAGAAGAAGCTTTAGAAAATAGTTTGAAGGTTTGCTTGCATATGCTTACTTGAGTAAAATTATTATGTTGGTAGGCCTGCAAATTAGATTGGCTGCACGCAATTTTGTGTAATTTGAGCAATCTCTTTAAGATATTATTCCATGCTTTTCCCCCCACTGCCTGAATCGTCTTGTATTAAACAAGTATCAAAGCTTAAGGGTGTCCATAATGACATGCAGGCCAGACCACAATTTGCAAGATATCCGGGCCAAGATCTTTCCTCTTAAAAGGAGAAAGGTCAATGCACCTGAAGTTACACCCTCAATTCCAGTGCCAGTGAAAAGGAAGGAGAGATCACTATCTTCCTTAGTGGTTAGCACGCCCAAAGTTCCGATACAAACTGGCTTGACTGGAAGGCGGACAAAAGCTGTTGCAAGAAGAGCTGCTGCTTTACGAGGTTGTACTTTTGCTGTGGAAGGGCCTGTAAAGAGGGAAGATTCTGCAGAAGACCATTCATTAGGCTCGAGCTCACCTGAATCTCAAAACAAAAGTGCTCGAAATAAAATGCAGGTATTGACCTTGTGCTCTAGATTTAATCTTACTGGAGATGCACGCTTATTGGACTATTCTTCACTTCCATTCTTCATGCAATGCAGGATTCTTCCACAGCTGAGCCTTCGGGTGGGCAAAAGGCTACTAAAGAGACAGATGATGTTGTAATGGAAGGGAAAGGTGATCTGTGGACACCATTAAATTGTCTTGTAGAAGCTGCTAATAGAACCAAGACCTCCAAGTCTAATACGCAAGGCCTTACTGTTTCAAAATCAGAACCAAGAAATGTTTCTGAAAGCGAATTACGTATACCCGAAAGCAAAACTGAAGCAGAATCAAGAAATGCATCAGACAATCAATTGTACGTGCCTAAGACAAAAACGAAGGACCCTGAACAGACAAAAGTGAAAATTAACAGCAATGGAGCATCCTTGCTTCCTGGGCCAGTGAAACGCAGAAGGTTGCGCGCGGCAAATCGCAACAGAGCAGCATCATCGTCTGGAGAGCTGTCTACTTCTGCCCAGGTTATCCTCGATGCATCAGGGGCTAACCACAACAGAAGAAACAGTCCAATTTGGTTCTCATTGGTTGCTTCAGAAGATAGGTAAGATGCTTCTTTTGTTTTAAATTATACATTATTATGTGGCTTTTCATATCTGGGATGCTCGATTTTGTTGCTTCCACGTTGATTCCTGATTTAATGGTAAATGGCTTCAGGAAAGGAGATAGTTACTTGCCACAGATCTCTGCGTGCTATTTGAGAATAAAGTGAGTTTCTTGAATCCCTTTACTTCAAAGTTACATTTCTCTATATTTGTTCCATGGTTGCTTCAATATTTAATACATCTGAGGTTGTGTAGCACAAAGCTGCAAAATATAAAATGCGGGTCGGTCCTTGTGTGTTGCTTTTCTAGGATATTTTTGGCACCTTTCAGAGAGCAGTTTGATACTTGTTTCATAACATCCTTGAGCTATTTTTTCCAACTTGTACATTCTTCCTGCATAATTTTGATCATTTTGGAATGGATTATATATGGTAGATTGCATTGATGTGTCCAATACTAACCGGCAAAATGTAGTATTAACTGACTTTTCTTTCTGTTTACAGGGATGGAAAAATGCCGGTCTCATTTATCCAGAAGTACCTTGTAAAGAAACTTGATCTTACTAGTGAAGCTGAGGTGAGCTAATCTCAGTTGGTTCCCAACAAACCTGAGAAAGCTTTTCTAACTCTTTCATCTTTTGTAAAATTTCAATCTTTGTTCCTTTCTCTTTACAGGTTCAGATTTTGTGTCGCGGTCGGCCAGTGCTTCCAACACTGCAACTACAGAATCTGGTTGATCTGTGGTTCCGGACAGCATCAACATCGAAAAAAGTGCCGGCATCCGTTGGTTCCTCAGCCAAGGACTTTGTGATGGTTCTCTCCTATTGTCGAAAAGTCTAAAACCACCCACGAGAACAAGCTACTGAGGAATTTTGTCCATCCTTTTCACGAGTTTTACAAGTTCAATTTTCCAATACACAGTCGCCATTTCTTTTATGGCTATATGGCACTATGATTTTCTTGTTATGTCATGACTCGCGTGTGTTTGTTGTTGTACCGTGCAAAATTTAGTTAGTATGTATGAATTCTTTGATTGATTTATTCCATTTATTTTATCCATGGCGTGTATAATATGTTAAATTGTAACGATAACTCCAAATGTTCTTCGGTAATCTTGGATGTTTTAATCTTTTTATTTTACTGGCGAAATACTTTGCATGGTGGTACCTCCAAATAGTGATTTGCGTTTGTTTTCACTTTTAGTTTTTGATTTGATGACCATAAACAATCTGCCCTATAAGTTTTTTAAACAATCTTTTTCTTGATAAACAAATTTCACAAACGAGTCTAGATGTGACGTGAAAGAGAGGTTAATTCTTGTTATTTTACTTTTTTAAGATATGCCCTTCTCAGTCATTTTGATGATTTGAAGACAAAAAAACCAAAGAAAAAAAAAAAACACAATGTTGACAATTTTTCTTTACAACACCTGAGATCTTTTTTTTTTTTTTCCCCCATTATCCACTAGTTGAAATTTGAGTTTCGTGTCAAGTCTCAAATTTTTTTTGGTCTACATTAATTTTTACGTTAAAAAAAAAGTATCAATTTACAGGCTTAATTAGCTTATTAGCACGCATTATTACTCATTAAAAAAAATCCAGCTGGGGGTATTTCAGTCATATGACGTATATAATAACCCGACCCGATTATTGGATTGGAATAAAAGCCGATATAAAATATGAAAAATGGCCGATGCGTCCTTCACTGCCTCGCCTTCTTCAGTGAGATTCGCTGTCTGCGTTTTTTCAACTCCGACGATCAAACATGCATCAGGTAAAACCCTCACTCCAAAGTTTCCTTCCCAGAGTTTTTTTCTTTTCTGATAACTGAATTTTTCAGTAATCTTTTACGCTGTGGGTTTATAATTTATTTTTTTTTTTTCAATTTTATTTATTGGCGCAAAAGGGCGGAGGATCTGAAACGGAGGTGACATGGGAGGACCAGCAAAACATCAACAAATTCGGAAGATTGAACAACCGATTTCACGAGCTTGAGGACGAGATCAAAGTCGCCAAGGTACTGTGCGTATTGTCGTATTTATATGTTTGTTCCGTTTGTTTGTGGATGTAGAAGTAATATTGCATTTCTTAGAAATGGGTTCCAAAAAAACTGGGGAAATTTTGGGGGAAAATGATTTGATTTGACTTAATAATCTTGCTGGGTTTCTCCTATTTAGTTCTATGTGATGTGATTGTGGTTTACTATGGAATAATAGATTAGATACAATGCTTCAATCAAGGTGGGAACTGAAACTGGATGACCCAATTGCAAATAAGCGAAAGAGCAAATTAGATGAGTGCCCGTTTGGCAGAGGTTTTTCTTTTGCTTTTAGTCAGTAGAAGAAGAGAAGTAAAAGCTGTGTGCAGGTGTTTAGAATAAAATAGCTTAATGGGTCAAAATAATTTTTTAATTTTCTAATAAGCAATAAAAGTGTTAAAATGAAGTTTACAATGTCTTAATAAAATTCTAATATAAGTTTTAAAGTCTGTTCAGAAGTGTTTTTTTAGAAGTCACATTTTATGGCTTTTTAAGGAAGCTCTTCTAAAAAGCCGAAGTAATTTTGACAGATCATTCAAACACTTCCAAAGGCAACTTTTAGAGTCAGGAAGCCAAAAGCAACTTTTAGGAAGCTCTTCTAAACAGATCCGAAATAACTTGGGGAAAAAGAATTTAGAAATTTTTTATGTGTTATGATCAAGTTATTTTAAATAAGATTTAGAGGAATCCTCTTTAAGGTGAAAATTTTGGTATAATTTTCTTCTAAGAGGAGTTACAGAAACAATACGCTATCAAATTGTGGGGTAGGCTGTAGGCTATGAGGGAGAAAGAAATTAGGGGGTGTGTTCGTTTTATAGGTTTGAGCAGAAAATTTGAACTAAAAAGTTTTATAGGTTTGAGTGGAAAACTTGAGCTGAAAATTCAAAAAAAAACATTGTAGTAAAAAGGTTAAATTGTGGTTCAAACCTACAAAAAGAACGGGGCCTAGGTTAGGGTTGTTAATGATTGTGGGCATTTTAATTCTTGACTGAGTCTGTCTTGTTGAGCTTACGAGTAAATTTTCTTGGTGGGAACTTGGGGTAACTTGGGGCTATCTTTTCTGTCTTTTGGATTAAGATTTTTAAGGTTTTGGTAATAATTTGACTGTTATCTTTGAGCTCATGTGTGCTCTCTTTGGACTAGGACTTTAGCCATATAATGCTGAAGAAATCTGCAATTCTGTGTTTGTTATTGAGCTTTAAGATCCCGCTTTGCTTGATCTTTTTACTTCTGATAAACTCAAAAACAGAGGTGTTAACAAGATGGTGTTTGTTATTTTCAGGAAACAAATGAGAATCTAGAGGATGCTAGCAATGAGTTGATTCTTACAGATGAGGATGTGGTTAGATTTCAAATAGGGGAAGTATTTGCCCACGTGCCAAAAGAAGAGGTGGAGACCAGAATAGAAGAGATGAAAGAGGTGACTAGCAAAAATTTGGGGAAGCTTGAAGAAGAGAAGGAATCTGTACTAGCCCAGATGGCCGAGTTGAAGAAAATTTTGTATGGGAAGTTCAAGGATTCCATCAATCTAGAGGAGGATTAGAATTTTCTTCTTGGCACCTTGATGTTTTGTTCTTAGCAAGTGCTTGTTAAATTTGATGAAAAATGAGTTCTACAACTTGCTAAAACTTGTATTTGTGCCAGCGTCTTATTGAATATCGACAGTTGAATTAGCAAATTATTTCTGCTCAATTGCGTTAACACATGTTTTATTTGGGAAGAGAGCATTTAGCTGAACCAATTAATTAAGGGAATGTTTATTTTAGCACATTAGACCACCGCATTATATAATAATATAATATTTAGTGTGATTATCGTATTGTATTGTATAGATTAGTATGGATGGTAATTTAATAAGGTTTATGTCGTATTATTGAATACGTCTCATTTTAAATGTATTGTATTGTATTATTTTATAGTGGATCATTGATTTATGTCGGGATTAGGTATGACTAGAGGTTGGTGTCAAGTTGACATAAGATCATGTCAGAGCTTATAACTGTTGAAAATTTTTGGGGCATAATGCAAATTTTATATTCATTAAAAATTACATTTTGATCTTAAAATTTTTATAAAATTACATTTTGACTCCAAACTTTTGAAAAATTACACTTTAACCCAAAATTTTATAAAATTTTATTTTGATCCCAAAACTTTGAAAAATTATATTTTGACTCTAAAATTTTTTAAAAACCGCATTTTGATCCTAAAATTATTAAAACTTTACATTTTGACCTCTTATACAATATGTTATGACATCAAATACTGTATTATATTATGATAATATAACACAAAATAATACACTTTATACAATACAATATAAGCTACTAAACATAGCTTAATACTCTTAAAATGGTTATAATAATTTTTTTTTGAAAAAAAAAAGTTATTAGAACCACTACTCTTAAAGTGGTGATAACTTGCCAAGCCGGGCATTATCCCGGTTCTCACCGGCCACTATTCACTTACACGGAATAATTGGACTCTCTCAAATTTCCCATTAGAATAAGGATAAACGTGCATGACACTAGAATCGTCTCATTTCCGAAAAATTGTTCATTCGAACTAACCAAATTGACCATAATGATAGTAAGCAATTGCTATTTCTTGCTAGTGGTTGTAATGATGACATGCCTGCCGTGGAGTGAGGAATCCCAAGATTGGCTGTAAATCAAAGACACAATTTGCTGAAAAGAAATGATTGTAAGCAACGAGTGCCAAACATCAATGAAGCAAATATTTTGCTTATTAATGAAGAACATGATCCCATCAGTTCAGTATTTATATTAGGAAAGAAGCCGTGAAGAGTCTTCTCATTTTCATTCAATTTTCATGTAAGGATATGGATATGGTCCAGAAACCATAGTATTCACAGCATTTGAACAAATCAGCTAATGTAATCAGAAATTTATTTTCTACATAAAAGAACAATATACCACATCCAATCATTGATACCAACAAAGCTCAAGGACCTAAAAAGAACCAAAATTCAATTCCACTAAGAATCCCAATTCAACTCTATCTCCACCACAAACACCCTCTTCACACAGAAACATTGTGATGAAAAAAAAAATCACAAGTACCCACTTCAAATCAAATCCCAACTCAAAAAGAATCTATTTTTTCTTTTCCATTTTGTCTGAATTATTGACAACAAACTCCAAGGCCAAAAATTCAATTCCACTAAAATTCCCAATTCAATTCAACCACCTCATATCAATTCTTCCGAACAACAACATTGTTATGACCCCAAAAAAAAATAAAAATAAAAATAATATATCCAGATGTGCCCACTTCAAATCCCACTTTAAAAAATAAAGAAACTTTTTTTCCCTTCCATTTTGAGTCTCTGAATGAATTACAACAACTACAGAGTTTTCTAAATCGGAGCATAAGCCGACCGCAATGGCTGGCTTCCGACGACCGACAACAACCCTCCTTCGGCAGCGCTTTCCTCGTCGAGAAACAAGTCCTCCGTTCCTCGAAACGCAGCGTGCAATCCAACGACACAAACCCCAACCACCAACGACACCAACACGTTCACCCCGACGTCCGTGAAAACAAGCGCGAGAACCGTGACGAGGCTCAAAACGACCAGCACCGTCCTGTCGTCGACCGTCCGACCGTGCATCACCACGGGACCGTCGCGGAAGAAGTAGAGGAAGAACCACGCCACGAACACTACCAGAAACACGATCATCGAAACCGGGTGCCAAAGAAGGCCGAGGAAGACTACCAGGAGCGTCGCCATGACGTAGTTGACTCGGAAGTAGTTGAGGTTCCAACGGACGCGGCTCATGGCGGCGGCGTAGTTGTCGGGGACGGAGAAGGAGGAAAGTTCGAGGAGCTCGCGCCAGGGGCGGCGCGTCGCGATCACGGACTCCGTCGTGTGCCTGGCGCGTGCGATGAACGAGAGCTCCGATGACGTTGACGGCGATTTTCCGGCCGTCGTGACGTTGGCGGTTGGCATGGTGCCGTAACTTCCGGATAATCTCGTCGACATTGTTGGGGGAAATCTGAAACTTGAAATCTCCCAAATTCGAGAGTGAAATAATAAAACCCTAAAGCTTGAATCTTGATCTAATCAAAGGAAAGGGACAGAGAGAGAAACCTCTCTCAAGTTGTTCTGATTCTGAAAAGGATTTTCTCTTTTTTCTTTTTATTTTGTTTATCAAAATGAATGCCAACCTGTGCAAATGAAAACCCCTGCTATTCCGACCTGTATTTTAGATTATACTAATAATATCTACGCAATGCCCAATAGTATAGTGCATGAAAAAAAAAAACAAAAAAACAAAATCGTAAGACCTCCAATCGGTGGCGCCGCGGTGCACATTTCTTACAACACATCAAAATAAAGAAAAAACATGTAGAATGAACAATTTTTAAGGAGTTTCTTTGAGTAAGATTAAAAAAATAAATTAATAATTTGCTGCTTTTTAACCATTAGATTAATGTTAAAGGATTAATTTCAAAATAAATTTTTAAATTATGATCATTTTAACACTTTGATTTTTAAGGAGTTTCTTTGAGTAAGATTAAAAAAATAAATTAATAATTTACTGCCTTTTAACCGTTAAATTAATATTAAAGGATTAATTTCAAAATAAAATTTTAAATTATGATCATTTTAACACTTTACTGTTTAAATTTTAAAAAGTAACGTTCGTTATCCCGAACTTTGTTTCATTAATAAGTTTTATCCTTATGTTATAATGAGTGATAGAATCATCACGTATGAGGTACATGATCCATCTGAGAAAGGTATTATCGTAAATTAATCTACAACAATCCTAGATTATTAAAAAAGTAATGGATAGTTTGTATAACAGGGATTCATGCAATAACGCTGCCGATCTCGGTAGCCGGACCTCGCGGTGGGAAAATCAACGGCAAAGAAGATGACATCATTTTCGAGATTCTCATTCAAATATCCGTTGAAATCGTTTTGGCCTAGAAAAGGAGAAGGTAGATATGGTGGAACTTGCCATGGATGAACGAGGTGAGGAAATAAATAAGCAAAATGGGAACGAAAATGGTGAATTTTTTCAATAAAAATAGAGAATTCTCTAATTAAGAGGGTATAAGCGTAATCGCGCTTTCAATTCTCACTAAATAAGTGACACGTGGCAATTCTATCTCTCACCGTAATAAAAGGATAAAACTTGTTAACGAAATAAAGTTCAGGAGGAACGGATGTTACTTTTTAAAATTCGGGAAGCAACGTGCTATAAAGGTCATAGTTTGAGAGAAATTTTTAAAATTAATCCTATATTAAAAACTATTTGTTTATATACTTTTTAAATCTTGTGTGATTTTAAACAAATTCAACAAGCAAACATGGACACTATCAACAGAAGGCCTATCAGAAAAAACCTTCAATTTCTAATACAGATACAACGATTAAAAAACAAAGACCTATCTTTCTTGTTCCGTTCATAAACAATTTTTATTGCTTTTTTATTATTTTTCTCCTACTCTTTTCTTCAGTAATCCTCCTTTTCTAGTTATGTTAACGAATTAATTACGCAAAAAAAAAAATTTTTTGATTACCTTTTTTTTAATGATTTCTTATTAACTCTTTGAAGTAATAAACTAATTGAAAGAAATTTTGGTCTTTGCTATTAATAATGATAATAACAATAACAACTCATACCGCAAAATTACAAAGAAAGCGACATAAGAACCCACAAGGGCCGTTAAAATGGAGTGAGGTTTCTCCTTGTCCAAAAATAGTGACAACGATAGAAAACGTTTAAAAAGCTTAGCAAGTAAGAAATGAAGGCAAAAATTAGAGATTAAAACTGTCCTCTCAAATTATAAACCTTTTTAATTCAAATAAAACCGTTGGTCCCAAAATTGAAAAATGACACCCTCAATTTTCTTGTACTAACTAGACTCTAGAAGATCGTCAAGGGGTCACTATGATTTTCCCTTTTGCTTGTCAGTACCATGGAATTTTCTCCCGGATTCAACAGCTTCCCTATTCAAATGAAAATGAAAGTGATAATTAGAGAACTTCCAAGTTAAACAGATCGAATAACCTGAAAGCGCAAGAGAAAAGAGGCGAACCTGAAAGCAGTTACTAGCTCTCTACTTTCGGGATCAAGCTTCACGCCCTCGTAAAAGGCGTTGGCAGCTTCATCAAATTTCTGAAACAAGGAGGGCAAATAAGTGGTTTTAGATAAAAGAAGCATAATTTTGTTTCAAAATGTTGCTATACAGGAGGAGGGAAACATTGGGACATGCCTGCAATAAGCGTAATGCTGCACCTTCCCGATAGCAAGCTTTTGGCCAATCTGGTCTTAATGCTCTGCAGGCCTTTGCATCGGCTAAGGCCTGCTCAGCTTGACCAAGACGGATCCAACAAAGACTTCGATTAGAAAACAAAGTAGCATCAGTCGGGTCTAGATCGATTGCCTGTCAATGCATGACCAAGTGAGTGGACTTTGAGGGAACAGAATCTGCTATTAGAAACAAGTGCTAATTATCACCAGTAGTGATCGTTAGCACTAGCTTTTAAACCAGTTAAAGATTGACATGAAAGGCCACGTGGACCCTATGTCATAATCTATAGGTCTTAAAGTTGACACATAAATTTGTGATTGGTTGTAAAGATGTGGTGATAAATAACATTGCTCATCAAATTATGCTGGAAATACCCAAATAAGGTACCTGTGTATAAGCATCTACAGCAATATCAAATTCATGTCTTTTAAAAGCCTCATCTCCTCTTGATTTTGCTTCTGCAGCTTTCTTCTTTGCTTCAGGGGTGACCTGAATAAGTAGTTGCATAGCAAGCAAAGTGATAATTACAAGAATGCATAAATCTACACCATTTGCATGTATTATTTTATGTACATGTCTATAAAATAGGGCCTTGTGCCCTAATAGACAGTCACATAGCTGAATGCCTCCTTCACCTTCAGTCTAAAGCGAAAACCCAAAATGCATTTATAGAATTGAGATCAAGCAAACCTACCAAGATGCTTGCATATAAGTATTTATTGACTCAAAAACATGTTCATATTCTCTATGCCACTAAATGCTGCTTTCTTACTCCATTTATGCTTTACACTGAAATTTCATAACTATTGTGACACATTTCAATGTGAAACCAAATTTACAATCAATGCTATATCAACCAACAAAGTCAACGGGTGACCAATGCGGAAGATATGCACAACCAGTAAATGAAGAAAACTTAGGGGAAGGGGAAGAAAACAAAAGATATTGCAAGAGTGTAAAAAAGGCACCTCAGGGAGATCTTGCTTCGGTAACTCCTTTGGCATATCAGCTTCCTTCAGACTTTTCATTTCTTCCTGCAAATATTCCCTTAAAAGTTAATGATCTCTATCTTTGAAGACTGAATGCTAAAAACAGGAAAACCTTACCAAAATATTTTACGCATGTTCCAATTTCATATTTGGTTTCTAGTAAAAGTTGTTACTTTACAGACAAGCAGTACATGAAGTTCTTCCCCAGGCAATCAAATGCAAAAGAAAATTCAAGATCTTAGTACCTGTTGTCTGCTCGTTTCAGAATGCATATACTCAATTATGCCATCAACTGTCCACTTCGGGATACTTTCAATCTTAGATGTCAAGGGAAACAGGATCTTAACAGCTCCACGATTGCTTCTTGCAGCAGCAACCAGTATCGGCTTTGTGCCATCCTGTAATGCCAAATTAAATAAATAAACAAATAAAGAAGCATTTAACTACTTAAAATTTTAGATGCTGAAAAACGACAAAAGGAAAAAAATAAATAAATAAACACTCAATCTTTTACATTTAGGGGCTACACCAGAGATAAACAAAAAATAAATCTTATAGACAATGAGTGACAGTGGTAGCTTTACCTCATCAGTGACATTGGGATCAGCCCCAGCTTTTAACAAACAGTTAATGATTTCTGTGCTGCCATTATCAGCAGCAATGTGTAAAGGAGTTGCTCCACCAGCACTAATATTTACTTTAGCACCCGCCTGTACATTCGATGATGCAAAAGAAACGGAATCCTTTTTTAAATTTTAAAAATTAAAATGAAAATGGAATTCTACTGACATAAAATAGACACTGATTGACTCTAGTCACGGTTCAATTTCCCCAGACTGAGAGAGATTCGAAAGTATGCTTATCAACTATGATCCGAAATAAGATAAAAAGTTGTAGCATTAATTATATACCTATCTATGTCAAAAGTCACCTTCCCAAAATTAAAAATGCATAGAAATTACTTCCATGATCCTAAAAAACTTTAAATAAATGAAATTATAGAACCTGAATTAATAGCTCCAGGCAAGGCAGTGAACTGGCTGCCACAGCTGACAATAGTGGAGTGATATTATCATCAGTTTCAGCGTTAGGCTGCAAAGAATAACAACAGGATCAAAAAAATAAATAAAGCAGCAAAACATGGTTTTGCTATCAAAAAAACATAAAGGGCCAAAATAACACAACTACAGGCTTACATCAGCTTTGTGTTCTAGCAAAACTTTAACAGCATCTGGTTGAGCATGACCGGCAGCCCAAATTAAAGGAGTTCCAGAATCACTTTGTGAATTGACATCAACACCTTTAGAAATTAAATACTTCAGCAATTCGATATCTCCTGCAAACAAGCAAAAACTAAATTAGTTCTGTGAAGTTGTCGAAATCTCTGCTCTTTTTTACACTGTTTAATCCACAGATCTAGGCATAACATGAAAAATATGATTCCTATTACCATTGATTTATAACTTTTCTTCAGAACTCGAGCATGATGTTTCCTGGTCTAAAATCCTAGTCAATTTACATGAAAAGCAAAGTGAGCCTAAAATATCTCAAAGAAAGATATCTAGAACTAAGACCAACAAAAAATATAACTTCAATTCCAAGATGTTTCATGGGAAGAGATAAAAGACTTGACTCTGCAATTTCTATAAGTGAGTGAGGATCAAATTGAAAGCAGCATACAATTACCCACAATACCCTCCCAACAAAAACAGATTATCAAAATAAAAGCTAGAAAAAAAAAAAAAGAAGAAGAAGAAGAGAGAAGACGAAGTGAAAAAGAATGTGGACCAAACAAAAGAGAACAAATAAATAAAAATTAAGCCTCACCTATGCCTGCAGAATGGTGCAGGGCTGTGGCCCCTAAATTACTGGCTATCGAAGGATCAGCGCCGTGTTCAAGAAGGAATTTTGCAGTATCAGTATGCCCTTGCCTAGCAGCATGAATAAGAGGAGTCTCACCTGTACAAAAATTATGGTATTCCCAGCCATAAACCACACACAACACCAACCATGGCAATCATTTTGGAACAATGCCAATTACCGTAAGTTAAACACACCAATAGATGCAACGAAAGCACATGGTGTCAGTCATGAATATAACCACAGCAGACAAATATAAACATGAAAATATAATCAACAAACAACCAAAATTGACTCCTCAACAACGACAGAGCCAAAAAAAAATCCCATTCAGACTGCTCTTTTGTGATCATACATAAAACGGGTAATAATTTATGCAGGACTTCATTTAAATTATGTGTGTGTGTGTGTGTGTGTGTGAGAGAGAGAGAGAGAGCAGTCACACACTCGCCTCCAAGTACTTATTCATGCAGTACAAAGCAATGATCACAACCCCCCATATCAGCTCAACCAACAGTAGTACCGTTCAATACCAAAACCAATGAAACAAATAGTTGTCAACTCAATTCTTAACTCAAACGAGTGAAACGGACTAGGCCTATATATAGCATAAAGTGTTATATACCATCTTCGTCTCTTGTATCAACATCGAGTTTGAGTTCCTCCAACAAGTACTTGCACACTTCAGTCTTGCCTTCAATGGCCGCAAAGTGAAGCGCACCACGCTTGTTGGCATCCTTAATATCAGCTATCGTTTTCGCCAGCCCTTTCCCATCATCAAGCTGCCCCGCCAACTCTACCCACAATCAAACACCGCCAAAATAAATAAGAATTCAACCCAAGTTTCGAAATTTAAACGAACCCAATTCAAAAACGAAAAATTTGGAATAACAAATAAAAATTAAAGAAAAAGGAGAGCATAAACATACTCTTTAAGAGGTCAAGGTTGCCTGTGCGAGCGGCATTCAGAAAGAGTTGAACTTTCTGTCTCACTGCATATATACAAAGACATATATACACACACAAATAAGCAATAATCGATTCTTTGAGATTTCTAAGTATACACAAAATGTAACAAAATTGAGAGATTGAGAGGATTACCAGCAAGGGCAGCAGAAGCATCAGAGGCCATAAGGAGGGGAAAAAGTGAATACTAGTTCGCGAACCCTAAGAGAGAGATTTAGAGAGGATGATTTTATTTCGATCGGAGAGAGCTCGGAAAAGACTTCAACTTGGTTAAAGTGAAGTGCACGGTTTGCCTCCGGAACAAGGTGGCCGACAGACAGCAAAAAGAAAGAGACTTTTGGTTCTGGGCTTTATGGTTAGGATTTGTATAGTTTATTGAGATAAAATTACAAAATTTACTCTTAAAATGTATAAATTTAAATTTTTAAATCTTATTTATTAAGATTACTCGTTTATTTATTTATTTTTCTATAGTTCTTTCCTTTTTATTTTTAAGTTTTTTTTTCTTTTTTGGGAGTTTCTCCGTAAGTAGGCTCCCTATTTATACTTGATGCTGTGCTTTTAGGGAGTTTCGTATAAAATATTGATGCTAAAAAATTTGAAAAAAAAATATTACTCAGAACGACGTCGCTCAAAAATAAATGGGAAAACGTGTGACAAATAACTCATGAAACGACAAAACCTACTAGAATCGACATCACCAACTAAACGACAACGACCAAAAAACGACATAATATTCGAAAGCAACGTCAAGTTAAATTAAACGACAGGATTTCATATGCATTATCATCTTTTTATTTTAAAAATCATAAAAATAAGCCTTCAAAAAAAAATCATAGAAAGTCTTTTTTTTTTTACTCAATTAGAATCAAATTCATAAATAAGAATTGTTTCCGATCCAAATGTCAATCTCGTTCAAACTACAATTCTCACAACTCATTTAAACGCTAATTCATATTATATTCCATGTTCGATTCAAAACTTTAAATACACAATCAAACGTAATTTAAATTATTATTTGAATTTTTCTGTTCAAATAAAAAAAAAGTTCAAATCAACACAATTTAAATCAGCTAATACAAATAAACGACTTTAGTTTAAGAAAAGAGAACTTACCTAAAACGTCGTAAAGCTAATACAAATGACAAAATCAAGTAAAAACGATAAGTTTTGTGAAAAGCGAGAGGATGACGCAGATAAAATTATGTAAAAGCAAAAAAAATCCTCAAAAACACAATGAAAACGACAAAAAGTCAGATAAAGACAGGAAAAGAAGCAACAAATTCTAAAACGACATCAATGTTTGAAGACTAAATTTTCGTAAAGCCTACGAGTATGATTACTATGATTATCAGGACTCGGGCATCACAAAATGAACTTTTAGATTTTTGAAATATCAGAAAAGACAACATATTCCTCAAACGACAACACTAATAAGAACTATAATAGTTGTAATAAATGACAATTGTTTTATAAAAGCGACACTGACAAGATCCCATGAATTTGATAACGAGTACTGCATCTTATGGAAAATGAAAATATTTTTCAAAACGATAAAAAAAGATTGAGAGACGAGAACTCTGAAGCGGAGGGAAAAAAAAAAAGGACGAAACCTCCCATAAAGTATACCACCACGTAAAAAACGACGGTAACATTGATAATTAATAGCTAATATTTCACCAAATTCACTTCCAGTTCTAAAGAAAATATTTCCAGGAAAACAACAATATATCCCAAACTTTGAAACCACGGTATCTCTTGAAATTTCTGAAGTGATTATACCACACTAGTACTATATTTTCTATATTATCACCATAAAAACCTTCTCTTTCTTATGATCATTTTGTTTAAACTATTCATTTTATTGTTTGCGTTGATGGATTTTATTGAAAACTTCTAATTATAAACAAGAAATTAAATCGACAAAAAAAAAAGGTGAAAACTTTAGAATCCTAAATAGAGTAATTAACAATACTACAACAACTATTTCACAAGTTGCTTCGCAAATGGTTAATGTGAAAATAAGCAAACAATGCCAACTGGTGCTAGCCCAGTTGGTAAGGGTGGGATGGGTTCGAAAGAGAGAAGCTAGATTGTATAAAAAAATTAAAGAGATAATAATTGATGTACTTAAATTATGCCTAATTAAAAAGATAAGTCGTTACGTTGAGAAGAAAAACACAAAAATAAAAAGTAAAAAAATTGGGAAAAGTAACACAATCAAGAGCTTTTCTTTTCTTTTTCTTTCTTTTTTTTTTTAATGAGACTATCTATCTAACAAGAGTGTGTGTGTATATATATATATATATATATATTTCATTAATAAATGATGCATTCCCTCAATTTGTTTGCTGGTAAAACTCCACAGAATTTTGGTTACATAAAACATAATAATGTTGTACCCATTAGAAATATTTCACATTGAAAAATGAAGAGTCTGGGTAAAACCACCACACTTATATACAACCAAAAAGCTGTAATCAAACCCACATAATTAATGTTCCCCTTTAGCCTCCAACTAAGAAATAATTCCCGGCTGATTATAAAGATGAGTTATAAGCCCCAGTTGACAGTTGTAGCAGCTGCAGCAGCACATACGTATTATAGAAAATCTCCTAATTAATTATTTAATTAAGCTTTGGCAACCGCACTTTCTCTCTTAATTACGTAAATAACTTTGTTTCTAATAATTTTGGCTAAAACAAGCCATGATCATGGATATGACTGCATCACCGAACAAGCTACAGCTTGAGCCCAATGCCTTAACTTCGTCTTCACTTGTTCCGGATCATCACCTGCAAAAAGTACTCACATTAAAAAAAACAAAAAACAAAAAACAAAAAAACAAAACAAAAAACAAAACAAAAACGTAGAAGCTGTGACTGTGAGTATAGACTCAAAGGAAAGCCTAATTTACTTATCCCAAATACACTTTTGAATTAAAAAAAAAATTCCACATAATTTCATAAATGCGAAATATCATTTTACAACTGATCTATATATATTAATTACCAATATATGTAAATTAAGTCGTACATATATTATATATGCACGCACATGTATACACATAACTCACACCTGCAACCTTTCAACTTCTATGCAGTTAGGTAATGTTAAGATTTGAATATATACCCGTTAACGAAAAAATATAAATCGCTAAAGAATTATATATAGCGTCAATGTATTGGTGATTCTTATTAGCAAACAACTTAATTGGACATATATTATGAATTAGTAATTATTGAGTACTTGACAAAACTATATAATTTCTAAAAATTCAGTGATATAATCACCCTATCAATATCAAATGCTACATATGTATATATTTAATGGAATTGCAAGTGTTTTCTTAAATTAAAAAAAAAAAATTAAAAGGAAGAAGAAGAATTGTACGTCAAAGCATGCATATATTATTGGTACATATATAGACAAAGCTTTGTGGATACCTGGGCTGCAGATCTTCCACGTGTCCGAGTCGCTCCTGGGGCTTCCGAACGGCGAAGACCGCCCTGCGCTCGATGACGATGTCGACAACCGGCTTTTCGGCGTAGACACCGGGCTCAACGAGATCTGCCGGTTGACGGCGAAATAAAGGTCAAGAGCCGGCAAAGTTCCACACAACTTCTGACCATCCTCCTCATTGAACCCAAACCCTAGCTCAATACAACCTTTCAGCTCGCTCAGGTCCTCGTCCGTCAGCTCATTCTCACCCTCGCCGTTGCTCATCATGATGCCGTTCCTCCGCCGCTCCTGGAGGAGGAGGAACTGGCGGCGCCGCTTCTCCCACGCCACGTCGCGGGACGTCTCGCACATCGAAAGCTGCTTCGACAGGCGCTTCCGGCCACCGCCGGCGCCGCCACCATCCCTCATCAGCCTCTGTGGCACCAGCGGCATATGACGGAGCTCCTCCGCCTGATCCGCCGCCGCCACCGCCGCGGAGTTGACACATGATGACGATAATGACGTCCTCCTCTTGTGTTCGTTATTGCTCATGGTGATGATGTCGTTTTATATACCAAGTGGATTTCTGCTTTTTGATTAATCAATGGCCGCCCCACGGACCCAGCGGGCGTGGGACGGAGGCTTGCACGTCGTGTTTAGAAATTGGTGAGGTGCTAATTATATAGATACATATATGATATATATAGATATATACATATACATATATATTTGTGTTTGTGGGGTTTTAGCGTTATTGAAGAAATGTCACCATTTTTTTTTTTTTTTTTTTTTTTGAGAGGTGCAATGAAGTGTGGGTGAGAAGGAAGGGGATTTAATGGAGGGCCAAGAAATAGAGCGGTGATCGCGGGCGTCCTTTGGGAGGCTGTTTTTGATATTTCCACCGTTGGTTTGTAACTGAAACCACCGACTTTTCTAGTTAATTTTGGAAAGGGTCTGTTTAACAGGTTCTATATTCTCGTTAAAAATGAACACAAATCTCTCTTCCATCACTACTAATAGTTCTAACCATATCATATAGTACTAGTGTGAGGTGTTACTAATTAAGTTAGAAGTTGTAGCTAGATCACAAGTAATATTTGCTACTTCAGTTGCGATTTTCATGGGATTAATTTTGTACTTTATTTGGACACTGTTTGAGGTTTTTTTTTTTTTTTTTTGGGGTTACTTTTAAGAGAACAGTTCAACTCTTAGCATATTCCCTAGCGCGATACAAAAGGACATTCTGGCCTCGTTCGTTTCGCTGATTCGAGTTTAGAATTCGAGTTTTGCTACAGTAAAAAGCTCCCACAAACAATCACATCTAACTTTTTTGTTACAGTAAAAAGCTCTCACATACAATCACATCTCAACTCGAATTCTAAACTCGAATCAGCGAAACGAACGAGGCCTCTATACCTGAACATTGAACACAATGGGCTCATTTTAAAATGATTTTATTTTTTTATATGCAAATAAAAATGAATACGTTTTCAATCTCATACATAAATCATTTTTAAAAATGCGTTTGGTAGTTTTATCAAAAGATTGTTTTCAATGTAAAAAAACCTAATAATGTCTATCTTTCTCTCTCTTTGCTCGAGAGAGAAATAAAAATAAAAAATAAAAAACGATTAAAAGTCATTTTTCATTTCTCTCTCATTTTACACTAAACCAAAAAATCATTTTCATTTATATTTTTTGTCTTTATTGCCTCAAACGCTGTTTTGAAAACGTTTTCATTTTTTTCTCAAAAAACGTGAAAAATAAAAACGGAATTAATTCCAAACATGGCCAATATTGTTTAAATTTTGATTAATTTTTGTTTATCAATCTTTGGTATATTATGTGATTTTAGTAATCTGCCCATTAAACTCTAATATATGCATTATTATTTGATCTGTATCTATATTCGTATTTGTTTTAACTTATGATTATAACTCTACACGTTGAGATGAAGTCATACGTAGATTTATCTGTGTTTTTTCTTTTAAATATATACCAATCGTATATCATTTGCATTATATTTGTATATTCTCAACCGTTTTGTATTATTCGTACATTATTCGAACACAGACTATCAAGAATAAAAAAGTAATCCTCACATAGAATCTTTTTTGTTTCTTTTAGATTAAGTAGTGTAGAAACCCCAAGACTTAAACATCATTTTTCCAAAGTATGTTTCAAGTTTATATAAATTAATAATAAACTCGCAACATATATAGTATATTTCATGGTTCAATTGTGATCACTTATATATAATATATTTTCCCTTTCCATAAATCTGGTATTTAGGTGAATGAAAATTTTCTAATGTTTCATGGTTTATTCTGCTGGCTAGGTTCCATTCGAACCACCATAGCACATACACATATTTATGCTGTGGTACGTAAGTTAGATTGACAACTTGAAACTTTAACATAAATTATCGATCGTATAGAAGTTACAACTTTTATAGTAATATGTTAGGCAACTTCTATGGTGAAACCCTTAAAAAAAACTAACTACTAGAATTCTCATTTTTAACCGTTAGATTAATGTCTTAACAGTCAGATTTATATATGTCTGTATTAAAAATTTACAACACACCACATAAAACTACTTATACTGTAGATTTAACAGTTAAAAAATTAATCCAACGGTTAAAAATGGGAGTTCCACGGTAGAGGTTTTTTAGAGTCACACAGTAAAAAATGCTTTTAAATTGAAACGTGTAAAACCACGGGTTTGATTATTCAAATATTCAAACAATTTCAACAACGCATCATGTTCTGTTTTTTTTTTTTTTTTTTTCCTTTTTTTTTTCTTTTTTGGCAATCCCTTCAGGAGAAAAAGAATACAAAAATAACGTCCATGTTATTGGAAAAGAAAGCTTTATGATGTATTTACGTTAGGAACAATTTGATAGAATCCAAGGAAAATAAGGTATTTTTTACCGTGAGACCCCAAAAAACTTTCATCGGTGGAATTCTTACTTTTAATTGTTAGATTAATTTTTTAACAATCAGATCTACAGCAGGAGTGTCGTAAAATTTTAATACGATCTGCATAGATCTAACAATTAAAAAATTAATCCAACAATTGAAAGTAGGGTTCCCTTTCATGGGTGGGTTTTTTTTTTTTAAGTTCTTACCAAAAAAAAAGAGCATAGAAAAAGCATTGAAAAGAACGTTTAGGAATACATGCTTTAACACAAGGCTAAAATACTTGTCCGGTAAAAATTGGTAAGAAATTGGGCATTAAGGACCGAGTTCAAGAAAAGGGAGAAAAAATTTTAGCCAAAAAAATGGTAGACGGAAGAAAGGAACAAATAAATAAGAGTAAGAGAAACTGTGATAGGAAAGAATTTCATTAATTTTGAAAAATGGAGACACAAGTAGCAAAAAATAGAATTTAGAGAGCGATAATTTCTCTAAATCTTGAGGTGTAAAGGTAATTAGTTAATAATTCTAATAATAAGTGGCCTTGATTTAGGGATGGCCTTTGAGCCGACGTTGCTGCCAGTCATCCGTTTTCAACTACTTAATTCATTCTTAGGACTCCAAAAATGGAAAAAGCAAAAAACAAAGATATGCCCATAATACAAAAAGAAAAATACAAGTTTCCTCCTATCTTCTTGCCTGGTTTAATCCCTCTGATCCAGGTAAGGCTATGAACGCCATGGTCGATTAGAAATGGTTTAGGCTAACACACCAAAAAAGGACCAAAAAGAAAAGAAAAAGAAAAAGAAAAGAAAAGAATCCCAAAAGACCATTTTGACATTTCGGCGTACAGGAAAACTTTACAAACTCTGTTTCCTGTACGCCTTGTTCTTCATGAGGGACTCTTTAGCCATGCATAATACCAAAACCAAAAACTTCATGTCTTTTCTTGTTTTTCTCTGTGTCATCCTCAATGCCTTCCATGGCGCGAATGCGGACTCGGACTCGTTGATATTGGGATGTGGCTTGGAAAATAGTGCAAAAGATGGAGATGGAAGGAGTTGGGAATCCGATTCGAAGTACATAACCGGAGGGAATTCTGTTTCCGTTAGAGCTCAATACCAAGACCCTTCTCTTCTCTCTGAGACTCCTTACATGACCGCGAGAATTATCACCTCAAAGGCAAACTACAAGTTACCTATGAAGGCCAACAAAAGGTATTGGCTTAGGCTTCACTTTTACCCTGCAGTTTATGGCAGCAACAATGCTGAAGAAGCCTATTTCAATGTGATTGCCAATGACATCACTCTCTTCAAAAACTTCAGCGCTTCTCTCACTTGTAAGGCCCTCACACAGGCCTATATCATGAGAGAATACACCTTAGCGCCGTCCACTTCGGATTCTTTGTCTCTCACCTTTGAGCCTGTAGCGGGGTTTGCCTTTGTCAATGGGATTGAGTTGATTCTGATTCCAGACATGTTCGACACGGTTACGGTGATCGGATTCTCCGACCAGACTATTGATGCCAAGGCCTCAAATATGCAGACCATGTATAGGTTGAATGTTGGTGGGCAGTACATTTCTCCAACCAATGACTCTGGTCTAACCAGAACATGGTATGATGATTTCCCTTATCTGTATGGTGCTCAATCTGGGGTCACAAATCTAGCTAGTGCAAATATTAAGATTGATTATAGAGATTTGCCTGGATATGTAGCTCCTGCTGATGTTTACAGCACGGCGAGATCGATGGGAAACACAAAGGAAATCAACTTAAACTACAATCTCACATGGGTGTTCCAACAAATTAATCCGAACTTTATGTACCTTGTGAGGTTACACTTCTGTGACTTTCACTATTCCAAACCAAATGAGATAGTTTTCAACATCTATCTCAACAACCAAACTACCCAGTCTGGAGCAGATGTGATTGGTTGGTCAGGAGGAAAGGCTGTTCCGACGTACAAAGACTATGCCGTGTATGTCGCTGATGGGAAAGGCGACGAGGAGCTTTGGTTGGCGATGCACCCTGCAACGGAGACCAAGCCTGAATTCTTTGACGCCCTTCTCAATGGAATAGAGATTTTCAAGATCGAAGCGTCTAAGAACTTGGCGGGACCAAATCCTCAACCTTCAGAGATGTTAGTGAAGAATGAGCAACAACAGAAGACCTTTCAAAGTAAGACGTCGCATGCCCAAGTGATCGGTGGAGCTGCAGGAGGAGCTGCAGCCTTTGGGATAGTGGCTGCATTGTGCATTGCCGTGTACCAGAGAAAGAAGCGATTTTCTGGAACAGAGTCGCACACTTCTAGTTGGCTTCCCATTTATGGGAACTCACACACCAGTGGCAGCAAATCAGCGATCTCAGGGAAGAGCAATGCTAGTAGCCACCTCTCTGCTACGGCTCAAGGTCGTTGCCGACGTTTCTCTTTTGCAGAGATGAAGAAGGCCACTAGGAATTTTGACGAATCCAATGTCATAGGTGTTGGAGGCTTTGGCAAGGTGTACAAGGGAGTTATTGATGCAGGGACTAAAGTAGCCATCAAGAGATCAAACCCGTCTTCAGAACAAGGAGTACATGAATTCCAAACTGAAATCGAGATGCTTTCAGAGTTGAGGCACAAGCATTTGGTGTCTCTAATTGGTTTCTGTGATGAGGAAAATGAGATGTGCTTGGTTTACGACTTCATGGCTCGCGGTACTCTCAGGGAGCATCTATACAAGAGCAACAAGCCTCATGACCTCACATGGAAGCGCAGGTTGGAGATTTGCATTGGAGCGGCAAAGGGTCTTCACTACCTTCATACAGGAGCAAAATGGACCATCATTCATAGGGATGTTAAGACAACAAACATCCTCTTGGATGAGCATTGGGTGGCTAAAGTTTCAGATTTCGGTCTCTCCAAAACTGGTCCTGATTTGAGCACTGGCCATGTTAGTACAGTTGTAAAGGGTAGCTTTGGATACTTGGATCCTGAATACTTCAGAAGACAACAATTGACTGAAAAATCCGATGTCTACTCATTCGGGGTCGTCCTTTTTGAGGTCTTGTGTGCAAGGCCTGCTCTCAATCCCAGCTTGCCAAAGGAACAGGTCAGCCTTGCAGATTGGGCTCTTCACTGCCAAAGGAAAGGAACTCTGGAAGACATCATTGATCCCCATCTGAAAGGCAAGATTGACCCTGAAAGTCTGAAGAAGTTTGCAGACACAGCTGAGAAGTGCTTGTCTGACCATGGAATTCATCGTCCCACGTTGAATGATATATTGTGGAACCTTGAGTTTGCTCTTCAGTTGCAGGAAAACATGGAAGGCGGCTCGGGCCATTCTTCTAGACGTGGGGGGAGCAGCTCTGATGAAGGCAGTCTAAGGGACCAGCAAAACATGGCCATGCATTATAGCAAGCTAAGCCTTGGAAGTGAAAGTGAGCTGGGAAATGAGGACTCCATTAACGAGCAGAGCAATACAACTGCAATCTTCTCACAGATTGTCAATCAAAAAGGGCGGTAAAGACCACGTTGCTGGTTGTTAGATTGTTGAGCTACCAGAGAGGGATTAATGTTTGAAAGAAAAGCCATGAGATTCAAGCAAATAAAAACCTCCAGAGATTTCTTTATAAGCCGATACTCGTCGTTCATTGTTTGTACTATTCCGTTTTGGTTTATCTTTTTATTTTCCTTGTTTCTTATTTATTAATCTGTTTTAGCACCATGTATTGGACAGGATACATAAATTCATAGCAATTTGTAAGCTATTTGAGTTAAGAGGGATTAAAAGTTTGTTCTGCCTGGTGTTCTATATGACAAAGTTATATTCATGTACGTGTTATCCTTCCAACATATTTTGACACTGCAACCGTACTGCTTGGTATGTACATTACTTGTATCTTAAGTTAGGTTAATTTTTACCCGGTGCACAAGATTGTAATTTCAGAGAGGAGGAAAAATATCATCGTGGGGTTGAATAAATTTTTGGTTTCGATCCGAGTATCATGTACATGCTCTAGTTACCGCAGAACTTGTTCCAAATGGCAGTCATATCCAGCCTCCCACTTAACTAACATCCATCACTTTTATCATCATAACACACAAATTACTGTCATCATAGTTAAATACGAGCATTTGATTAACTTCACCAAATTGAATAGCTAATAACGATGATCATTGGTATGGAAAATACTAATCTGAGAACTTTCAATAGAAAGCTTCTCACTTTCTTCCCACAAATCTTATGCTCAAACAAGTAGGTGTTTCATCCATTTTTCAAAATCCTACCATTTTGCTGTTTGGGTTTTGATTTAAAGAGCTCAGAAATTTCCTAGTCGGTTGTCTTTCCATACACGACTAGGCCAAGTTCTTTTCTTTTTTTTTTTCATAGACTGCAAAAGCATAACCCTGTAATATACTACACTATTTAAAAAAGAAAAAGAAAAGGACCTGCTTGATAATTTTCATTAAGTTGCCAAAAATCCACAATTTTCTTAACTGACGCTCTACTTTGAAAAACTCTGAAACTTAACTGGTCCACAACAAGCAAAGCATACATATTTAAGGTCAAAATTATAAGATGAATACTTAAAAGCTCCTTAAATATCTGGTTCTGCGGAAAAATGGCATCAACTAAGTGACAAAATCGCAAGTAAAGTCTTCACTTGAGGGGAATGAACCTGGAGGAATGAGTAGCACCAATACCAGGCCTTCCGTGTTTGACAGGCTTGTAGGATATTGAGAACTCGGCAAGATAATGGCCAATCATTTCAGGCTTGATCTCAACCTGATTGAAGGTCTTACCATTGTAAACACCAATAATGCTACCAATCATTTCGGGTACAATGATCATGTTCCTAAGGTGGGTTCTCACTGGCTCCGGCTTCTCGCCAGGAGGCGCCTCCCTTTTCTGTAACAAGGCACCAGAAAAAGCAAAGATTAATAAACTTCAAATTTAAGTAACATCCAAGTATCCAATAAGCAAAGCGTTATTGTAATTTTTATAAAACCTAACCAATGAAATCATGACCTGCAAAATTGCCAGAACTAGTCACAAATAGAAGATAAGAACAGTCTAGTATTTTTTATTTTCAAACCACAAGCATACTCCTTGCACAGATAGCAAAAAAATTTTCTCACCTCACCTTCAATTTCAAATCTTTCTTATGGTGTTTAATTAAATTACCGATTATCATCGCGTCTATTAAGTGACAAACTCAGTGCATCTTATCACTAACAATGCACAAGAGTATACTCAGCCGCTAATTCGATATATCAGTATCATCATCTCGTAAGTCATAACCCAGGAATCCAAACCACCTTAGCAGCGAATTCTAGTAAAAATGCTGGAGCCCCCGAACGAACAATGCAATGGTTTTGTTTCAAAACAAAGATTCAAACTGATTCTCCATCAAAATGAACAGACAAATATAATTTTCCGTGCTAACGAAAGTCCCATAACAAAACTTTGGTCAAAACAATTAAACTGAATGAAAACAAAAAGGGTGAATCCATGACTAAACTAAATCCATCAAACATGTCAAATGCTAACATAAGAAATCCAAAAAGATAAAACAACAAAAAATTAAAAAATTTCTCAGGAAACTGGGGCAAAACATAAAACAAAGGCATTATAAAGAGATAAAGGACAAAGATCTCACAGCTTTGCGCAGTTTCTTGATCAAAGCCATTGGCTTCCTCTTCAAACCTCTTTGAAACCTACGCAGTTCATCAGCCCAGGAAAAAAAAATTCAGTAAAAAACTTTAAAAAAAATCAACAACAAAGCAATATACTTTACAATCGGTCCAAAACAAAAGAAGAAAAAAAAAAAAAAAAACCTTCTACGAGCTCTGGCAGTGAATAGCTTGACGAGCTCATCAGTAGACATATCAAGAAGAGCATCCAAATCAACGCCTCTGAAGCTGAACTTCTTGAATGTCCTCTTCTTCGGCACTCCAGAGACCGCCACTTCCGTCTCCACATCCGCCTGAAACAAAATCCAATAATCAAAAACTCCCCAGAAAAGCAATCAGAAAATCAAACAAATCTCAGAATTTACCAATGCAACGTATATAACTCAAAGAAATAGTACAGAAGATTGATAGACTCAAGACTCACCATTTTTGGAGAGAGCGAAGAAAATCCCTAATTCGCAGAGATAGAATCGGCGGCTGGCGGAGTGGTGGGAAATTAGGGCTTTTTCAGTGTATTATTCTAATTGTTTGGGTTTGTATATATACGAGGATTGTTTGTCTTACCAAAAAAGCACCCTCTATTTGTTAAAATTACGGCCTGTTTGTTTGTGTTTTCGTTTTCGTTTTCATTTTTTACGATTTTCAAAGTAAAAAAATGAAAATGGGTATTAAAAACGTGTTTGGTGTAATTTTTTTAAAAAAATAAAACCAAAAATATTTTTGTCTTTTTGTGGAAATTAGAAAACAAAAAAAATGTATTTTTATTTTCTCGTTTTCGTTTTCTGTTTTCTAAAAAACGGATTTCACTTTTTTTTTTCTTTTTCATTTTCTTCCCTCTTTTCTGAAACCGTTTTTGTATTATATATGTTTATTTAATATATTTATTTAATATATTTAATAATATTATATTTAATAATATTATTTATATAATATATTTAATAATATTATTTATTTAATATATTTAAAATATATTATTATTTAATATATTATTACATATTTTCAAAAATTAAACCACCAAACGCAGTTTCAATTTTTTTTAAAACTGAAATCAATCTCTAAATAAAACTACCAAACGCATTTTTAGAAATAATTCAAAAATGAAACTAAAAACGTTTTCATTTTCATTTTCGTACAGAAAATAAAAACGTTTTGGAACCAATTCCAAACGCACCCATACAATTCCATCCGAAAAACATTAACCTTGTTTCAAATTGATTCCATTTTTATTTTTTATATTTTTTGAGAAAGAAAAAATGAAAACATTTTTAAAACGGTGTTTGACGCAATAAAAATAAAAAATAGAAATGAAAATAATTTTTTTGTTTAGTATAAAATGAGAGAGAAATAAGAAATGACTTTTAAGGCGTGTTTAGAACAACTCGTTCTAAAATGATTTTATTTTTTGTATAAAAATGAAAATGTTTTCAATCTCACACATAAATTATTTTTGAAATACGTTTGATAGTTTTATCAAGAGTTTATTTTTAGTGTAAAAAATTCATTAATATCTCTCTTTCTCTCTCTTCTCGAGAGAGGAGAAAATGAAAAACGACTAAAAGTCATTTTTCATTTCTCTTTCATTTTACACTAAACCAAAAAATCGTTTTTATTTCTATTTTTTATCTTTATTGTGGCAAACGCCGTTTTGAAAATATTTTCATTTTTTCTTTCTCGAAAAACATAAAAAACAAAAACAGGATCAATTTCAAACACGGCCTTAGTCGTTTTTCATTTTTTGTTTTCGTTTTCTCCTCTCTCGAGCAGAGAGAGAGACATTAATGGGTTTTTTTTATACTGAAAATAATCTCTTGATAAAACTCCCAAACACATTTTCAAAAATGATTTCTGTCTGAGATTGAAAACGTTTTCATTTTTATTTTCATACAAAAAAAAAATTATTTTAGAATGAGTTCCAAACGCGCCCTAAAAGTTTCCCACGATTTTGGATCTTGCACGATAATACCCTTTCAATTTTATAATCCTAACAAATTTGCCATTTTGTTAATTTATTAATTATTATGGACGTAACATTGCATGACCCGTGTAACATTTGAAATTTTTTTTTTAGGAAAAAGAGATAAATACTCTTTAAAAATACATAAATCAAAATTTTTACCATTTATTATTATTTAATAATATTTTTAATCAAATAATTATACAAATAAAATAGTGTCAAGAATGAGAGATAAAATCTAGACTCAAAAAATAAATTCTACGATTTGCTCTTGTTTTCGGCATTTTATTATCCATTGGCCTTTAATGGTAAACCATCCCATACACGTATGTATTGATCGAATCATATGTAAAGGCTTCTTTTGCAATTAGCAAATCACGATCATAAACCAAAAAAAAAAAATGAACAAGGTAATGAGATCGTTACGTAAAGTAAATAAGCAATATTGTCATTTGTAATACTTAAATTAAAAAAATAGCATTATATATCAATATTACTATAATGTATTTTTTATAGTTAAATAATTTGTTTTTAATAAAAATAATCATTGAATTCCATAATTATATAAAAACAGAAAAAATAAAAATTATAAAACGGTTAATGTCAAAAAAATAGCATTATATATCAATATTACTATAATGTATTTTTTATAGTTAAATAATTTGTTTTTAATAAAAATAATCATTGAATTCCTAATTATATAAAAACAGAAAAAATATAAATTATAAAACGGTTAATGTCACGTCTCTCTCTCTGTATATATATATATATATATATATATATGTAGAATTTCTTTCCTAAAAACAATGAAATTTAGAACTTCAAAATTCATTTTAAAAAAACTGAAAAGAAACGTAATTAAATCATTGTATACGACTATATCTCTGTATATTTAGATTGTTGTTATTTCCATATATATAACTATAACTATGTATGCATGGCCTTTTTTTCGCTAATCATAATTGGTATTTCATTACACATCAATGGTACTTAAGGATAAAGATATAATTAAAGAGGTTAACGGATTTTATTTAACTTTAATTATAAATTATTTACGGATGATTGATCTATATGTAATGACTATATCGAATGAACACTTCAGGTTCTTAACAGTAAATAATGTCTATAATTTCGATTGTGCAGTTCCAAGTTTTTAGTGGAGTAACTTTTAGAATTAATAAAATTAATTAATTAATTAAAGAGTTTAATTAATTATTAATTTTAATGGAGCTTGGAATTATAGGTCTATAAGTTCCTGCGTCATCCTTGTAATATTTACAAGACAAGATGAATTATCGAGATTTAATATCACTCAAAATAAATAATATGATTATTTAATTAAATTAATTTTTTGAATATGCTATGGTGGGACCACATAAGGTCACACGCCCAGGCATAGATAGGTGCAGAGAGCGTGTGACACAGGTAGAATCCCACAAGGATTCAGTTGTTTGCTCTCCAAGAGATCAGGTTTACTTATTTGACAAATTTTCTAATGAAACTTAAAAGAAAAGTGAAATATTACTTTATTTAGATTTGAATTTAAGCTAAAATTAGAAACTCGATAAATGAGGAGTTTTCTCTCTCTCCTGCTGCAAATTTGCATCAACCACAGGGAGGTTTCCCTATAGTGTGGCCGGCCATATAGTAGAGGGAATGGAGAGAATTTTGTTTTCAAAATTAAATGGGAAATTGTATTTTAATGATATTAAAATATAACAATAACCAGTTTTTTCTATTGCGTTGTCTTCAAGTTAAAACAAATGGGTTCTCCTAGTGTACTATAAATAAAAGACAATGGAAAATTGGAAGAGAGAATTTTTGCTCTTAAAAATTCCTAAGGTAGCCGAATTTTAGAGAGAGAAAAAGAGAAAAAAAATTCTTTCAATTCTCAATTTCTTCACATACATGTGTTGATAGTGAAGAGACACAAATTAACGAGTGATCTAATCCGATAGTTCTTTATTAGAGCCCATTCTTTAGGTCTTGCAAATTTCAAGGACTAGATGAAGAAGATTCTAGTTTTTTAAGAAAGCTTGGAGCTTGGATTGTTTGTGGTCAAAAACTTTAAGTTATTCACCTAATCGTTCACTAGCTATCTATCTTTCTAAATTAATATGATTAATTTATTATTCCATAAACTAATATAATCTGTAGAGTATTCAAAAGTTTTATGAAAATTTTTATTATACACGATCAGTACCACACTTTTGCACACGAAAACGTTTCAAAAACCAACACTTCACACCATTTATACTAACGTCAATGCTTAACTTGAGTACGATGAGGGTTAGAAAGTTGCTTCATAACTCATTTTGAGCCTTGCTTTTGAGGGGAGATCAAAATGAAATATTCATAGGCTCAAAATGGTGAACGTGTGAATGAGACATTGATTCTCAAAACATTCCTTTAAAGTTGGGAAAACTAAAGAACAAACTTCTTGCTCCACATGAGAATGAGATGAAATTAACCTATCCTTTAAGCCTTATAAATAGTAAGAATGATAATTGGTGTGTGAGAAAATGTGGGTAACAGGTGGAGCGACGACAGCATGACACGTGGCCCTACCTCCCCTCCAAAGGTGGCCACCCTCGATGCCAAGACATCGATCATCCTCGACGCCAAGAGTTCGACTACCCTCGATGCAGCAGAGAGGCCCAATTTAGGGCGTCGGCCCGTTGTGACGTCGAACTTATGCCTTCAGAAAGATTAGGAAGGGCATAAGATCCACGCGATACAGACGCCAAGAGGAAGATGCCTGACACCATAAGTTGCGTCCAGAATTGGGACACGTCTGCAATACGGGCATTAATTACAAACCCTTAAACCGCCTTACAATGGGTAGCAAGATATTACAGGGATTCGCAGAGCCGTAATAGAAGACCTGATGGCTGAGTGAACAGTCCAAAAGTGATTAGTGGGCTACGGTCTTAGCCTAGAAAGTAGGCCACTCGAGTACTTCCACCTACGAAGGAAAACCTCCCACGAAGGAAGCTTGGGCTATAAAAAGGGGCAAAGCCCCATACGCCAGGGAAGGAGTTCTCTGAAAAAAAAAAAAAAAGGCATGAGAAGAGAGAGCATATGTGCATGTAAGTTGTAAAGAGTCTAAAATAAATAAACCATACACAAGTGGATGTAGCTCTTGATTAACAGAGTGAACCACTATAAACCTCGTATGCCCTCTTATTCAAGTGTTGTTTTTCATGCTCACAAAACATAACAAACACTTCATAGCATAATTTCAAATATACAACTAATTTCTAGCCAGTAACCCCACCGGATACCAAAGGGTGATCAGGTGTATTTCTGTTGACGAAATTTCACCGTCAACAATAATAATTTCCACGGGGACGGGGCCCCATACCGAATAGGGTGGGGATGGGGGATAATTATTACGGATGGAAGACGAAATGAAGAAAATAAAAAATGAAAATTTTACGTTGCCAAATACTACAAAATGAAAGACAGAAGAGTACAGATTGAGAGAAAACATAGTACCAGAGGGAGAATGCGATGTAAAGAGTGAGATAATGAAAAAGGAAGACGAAACGAAGAAAATAAAAAATCCGTCAGATCTTTTTACTACAACAACATCCTTTTTTTTTTTTTCTATTTGTGCAAAACGAAAAAATCCGTTGTTATGTTGGAATGCACCTATCAAGCGCATACGTTTAATTTCTCAATAAAAGTATTTTATTCTCCTTCTTTTATTGCTCTCAAACTATAATATTGTACAAATTGTTTGTTACTAGTGTTTCAAAAAAAAAAAAGATTTGGGACTAAATGAATTTTTTGGCCTCTTTTAAAGGGGTTTATTGAAAAACAATAGAAAGAGAGAAATGATCATATCAAAGTAAAAAATAAAAAATAAAATAAAATAGTGAGTGTGGAAAGATATTTGAAGTGATGGATAAATTATAACCTTATAGAGATAATTAGGGTAGTTTTGGAATTGTAAAGGATATCTAATAAGCAAATTTAATCAATTTAAAAGCATGTGCTGTGTATATTTAGAAGAGAGATGTGTAAAAGAAATGTATCAACAGAACCACCCTAATTTAACTCCATAAGAGATATCTTAATGTGTTAATGCTAATCACTCCCTATCACAAATGTTATTTTTTGCCAAATTTATCATTTGTTATAATTAGCATCTAATTACAACTAATGGATACGTTTACCTTTTAATTTAATCACAGCTACATTTACATTTCAAAATATTTTAAAATTTAAAATTACTTTGATAACTTTTACAACTTAATAATTACAGTAAAAGATAAATTTAACACTAAAACATATTAAATATGTTATTATTATACTTTTTAGTTTCATG